AGTAATAACCTCTGAACCAGGGTGTGGCACCAAGTGTGGCACAAAAAAATTTTTTTTTATGTTTTAAAAAAACTTTTGAAATACCTAATTTTGCTCAGTGTTGCCCTACCACTTAGGCTCTCTTATTCAGAGTAACATAAGGACTAGGAATAAAAATTCTTCAAAATAACTCTGGAAACCTATTGGATTAAAGTTATTCCATGGGGAAAAAATTTGGCAATTATTCACATTAATAGAATTGAATATTCCAGTTTTAGAGATGGCTTGGTATGTAAATTTGTCTACAAAAGTACAATGACTTAGGGTCAGAGAAATAGTACAGCAGGTAGTGTGCTCACTTGACATGCTGCCAGTCTCGTCATATAGTGCACAAGTTCTCCAGCTGTAATTTCTGAGGACAGAGACAGGAATAAACCCTAAGTACTGCTGGGGTTTATTAACCAACCAACAAACAAAAAATTACAATCACTCACGCTAAATTCTCGAGGAAAATAAGGAAAGAGTTTTACCTCTGCTCTTTGCAGAATGGGATGCTTGATAGCACTGTAGCACTGTCCTCCCTGTGTTCATCTATTTGCTTGAGCAGGCACCAGTAATGTCTCCATTGTGAGACTTGTTGTTACTGTATTTGGCATATCGAATACGTCACGGGGAGCTTGCCAGGCTATGCTGTGTGGGCGAGATACTCTCGATAGCTTGCTGGGGTTTCCGAGAGAGGTGGATGAATCGAACTAGGGTCGGCCTGGATCAGCCACATGCAAGGCAAACGCCCTACCCACTGTGCTATCGCTAATCCAAAGAATTCAAGCAGAATCACAAGATTACAGGCATAAAATCTTGGTACTTATGCATAGTCAAGCATCTACTTTGTATTCTTATTCAAAAGTTAAATTGCCCAATGTATTAAGATGTGCACTTTGGGAATAATGGCTTTTCTGATGCATTTAAAATAAAAGGATGTCTGAATAATCTTCAGAAATTCAAGTAGAATTTAAAGTCTTGGGACCAGAAAGATAGTACACTGGAGAGGGTACTTGCCTTGCACGATGTGGCCTGAAATTCTATCCTCAGCATCCCATGCGGTCCCTCCCCTGAACCCTGCCAGGATTAGCCCCTGAGTAGAGATCCAAGAGTAAGCCTGAGCACTCCTGGGTTTGACTTCCAAACTAATAATAATAATGATAATGATAATAATAAAACATTTTTTAAACTAAAAAGACTAGTAACATCAAATCATGTTATTGTTTATGCATGAAGAACCAGCACAATCTGTTGCCATATGCATATAAAGAAAAAAGGCTGCTCTCCTTAAGAAAAAAAAAATTGGCAGAGAAGAAAGGCCCCGGGGGAGGGGGGTGGGGGGGCTCCACAGCTCCCGGAGAATGCACCAGGTCCCAAAAAGAGCGAGATCACCGGGAAGTCCCAGATGGGGTAGGTGCCGCATCCCACCTCCTTCAGATGGAACCCCGGTGACCAGGAGCCTCTACAAGCATAGCTCGAGTATGCAGGAACCAGGACTTTTCCTCCAAACCGCTCGGCCGCTTACGCAGCCGCACGACATCTCCCTATATACAAAAGTGACCAATGGAAAGTAAATCATCCAACGTTTCTCCCTGAAAATCAGGCTAAACTCTTATACAAACCACAACACCCAGTAGGAGAGAGAGAACAGAAGGGAATGCCCTGCCACAGAGACAAGGTGGGTTGGGGGGTGGGGGGTGGGGGATACTGGGATCTGCGGTGGTGGGAAATAGTCACTGGTGGAGGGATGAGTATTCAAAATAAATAAATAAATTTTTAAAAAAATCCGGAGCCAGACAGTTTCAAGTTGACTTTCCTATAAACCTTTAACAATACCTTTGAACTTTTAATACAACTCCACCTCACCTTGGAAGATCATTTTTAACACACCCACAGAGTTTTTGCTCTGTAGATTATCTGCTGCATTTCAAAGTGCTCTGCATTTTCTGGTTAGTTTTGGCCCTGGTTCAATTCCAATGTGAGAGAAGACAAAATTCTGTCTCTTCTAAAATCATGCAAACACTCTAGGAATTTGATGCTTTCTAGAATAATCTGTGCTTATTATGTAAGTAGAGTCAGACGCTTTTTCAAAACAGAACAAAAGAGATTAGATTCTCTTTAGTTTAAATTGTCTAAAGAGTCTTCTCATTCCTGGATTTGTTAATAGCTTTAGCACAAAAAAAAAAAAAAAGAAATAGAATCACGCATTTTTATTAGACACCCAAGAAGCCTTCCGGTTTCAGGTTCTTCTGGGGAGCTCATTCGCACTGGATCTTCTTTTAAGGACTTGGAAAATGTCTTGCTGATTAGGAAGTTAGTCATTTCACATTTTGACATCAAAAACAATGTGAAGTTTGAAAACCTTGCAAATTACACTTATAGGTAACAGGATACATCACTTTAAGGATGAAAAGCTCAAGGATCTTTGGCGCCTTCCTTTGTTCTGTTCATCCTATTTACCTTTTTTTTAGTGTTGGAGATTTTGAAATACCTGTATTTTCATTTAAACTGAAAATGTTGGTAATTAGCCCTCAAACTCACAATAAAAGGAGTGGTTTTTGTATTTTGAGAGTTCCTCTTCCTTCTGTTTGATGCTTCTTTATCAGTTAGTATTGTTTCAGCCCCAAGACTATCTTTGTCTCTCTGTTTTATACCCGAAAAGGTTTTAAACATGGTACTGAAAAGGAGGGATAAAGTAACATTTGGGAAATGGCCCTTGAGGCCTCATTTCTGGGTACTGTTGATTCCTTCTGGTTTTAGAAGTTGCCTCAGCCTTGGTCACAGGCATCCCTGGAGAATTTCCTTTTCCATTTACTTTGTCCATTTAAGGTTAATGTATTACAAGGTTTGCGTCTGCGAGATTAAAATAAGTCCATCTGATGGGGTGTTCTCAAGGTTCCCGTGCTGACCAGCACTGCCTGTTTTCCTGCCTTTGTTGGCATCTTTTCAATACAGGCCACCAAATAGAGTTTCTTAATCATGGACCACATGTACTTTTTGTTTTTTTTTTAAAAAAAAAAAAGAAAGAAAGAAACGTGCTTTTTATTTCTATGTACTGAAACCTAAGTGGCCAAATGCGTCATAATCCAGTTCCTTCTATCACTTTTTAAAGTCCAGTTGACCTGACCAGTGAAATATTTCAGAAAATGTCACTCTAATATACAAAGTTGTCTGGTACTGGTGTTTGAAACTTGAAACGTTATCTTTATGCTGTTTCTCTTACACAGGAGAAACAAGAGCAGGTTGGCAAGAAAATAACACTAAAAGTAATCAGGTGACAGAGACAAACCGTGTAACATGATATCTGTATTCCTCTCTAGAGATTTTTAGTTCATAAGCTCTGAAAATAAATTGGAGACCCAGAGAGCTGCCTCCTTGATTTGCAGGCAGGAGTCCTGGGTTTGATCCCCAGTACCATATTGGGATTTTAAGGATCTAACCTGGGTTGGTCTCACATACAAGGCTTGCTCTCTGCCCTCTCTACTATCTCTTCAGCCATATGTACATATATATATACATATATATGCATATATGTATCTTCAGTCCTTAAATATATATACATATATATTTAATGACTAGATGTTAGTGTATTAATGTGCATGAAAACTTAATGGGTGTTGTTGGTGAAGTTCATGTTCATCTAACAGTTGACTGTACTTAGGGCAAAATCAAAGTGGCTGGCTTGAAGTGCGTTTTACCAAGAATTTTCTCTTATTAGGTTTACTTCCTGTGTACACTCTTTTTCTTTGGTCTTAGCATTGGATGAATAAAAAGCTCTTTAGATGGGCTATGAGATTATGCTAGGGAAGGAAATAGCATAATAAACTAGTAAAATCATTTCATGCCATAAAGCAATGCATAGAATTAAAGCATTCTTTCCAAAATTTCCATGCACAATTCTATGAATAATTTCTAATGAAGTTATTGTGCTTGTTATATATCAAACACTTCATTGGGAAATATCACTGTCTCTGAAATTAGAGCAGAAACAAGTTCTTTAGAAACTATTTCCTGCATTTACTAAAAATTAGAGATGAAACACATCTTTCTTGACATTCAAGATATATTCGAAATACATTCCCTGTTTTAAAAAAAACTGACCCACTGACAAATTAAAAAATATAATAGAAAAAAAATTATAAATAATGTAATAAATTGAGTAATCCAAAGTAATGACTTATAAGTACCTTGGTCCCTTTTCAGTTGCTAGAAGTGGACACATAATAACTAATGATCCTTCAGGCTTAGAGGACAAAAACTGTTAGCGCAAATGTTTATGGTAAAAAAAAAAAAGTACTTTCACCAATGGCAGCTGCTCTCCATTTCAGCCATTAATCATCACCACTGAACATAACCATGTGTTTTTGCTTATAATCATAAAGCCAAAATTCATTGCTTTACTGAATAGAATTCTAAATTCTGTCCACCTTACTCAACCTTTATTTGTTTTTATTGAGATAGCTTTGGTTTTCAAGACTGTACATGTCTTATGGGATTAATATTACAGTATGCCCAATGTATGTTATCACACCATGCCCACCACCAAAGTACCCATAGCCTTCTGCCCTGTCCACAGGACCTTTTCCATCCTTTCAACCAGCCCCTCCCTTTGGTAACCTCAGTTCTGCTCTCAGAGTTCAAGGGGTTGTTTGGATTGTATGTCTTTAGACCTAACGTATGAACAGGATCATCCAGTGTTTTACCTTCTCCTGATTTATTTTGTTTAACATGACTCCTTCCATCCCATGTTGTCACAAAAGGGAAGATGTCACCTTTTCTTAAAAATTGAGTAATAGCTCATTGTTTCCATATGCCACATCTTTATCCATTACTGGGCGCTTAAACCTTGACTTAAATTAAACTATGGATAATGTGATATAAACACTGATACACGGCAGAAAGAAAATAAAAGCCACACTTTCATGATATTTGATTCCACATGCTAGTGAACATATTAATGCATCATTTTTTTTCTACAGGAAAACTGAAGACTTTAATAAAAAATCCTCCAAGGTCAAAATGAATACAGGTATGCTGTCTCTGTTAGTTCTAAACTCTTTAGCTTGCTCGCTAAAAGTGATCTTATCCTTAAGTCAGTAGTTTATTAGTTTGGTGATCCTAAATGTGGTTTGTTTTTATTAGAATACTAGTCTAAGTCCATTTGTTGATTTGTTGTCCTTGTGCTCCAGTTCTTATAGAATTTTCTGTTATAACTCCTCTTAACTCTCTTTTTGTAATCATATCTTGAAACTAACTTCTCTAAACCCTAAGGAGAAGGCATGTCATTTGTATACATATACTTGAAATCTCTAATTTAGAATAGGCTAAATACAAAGCATTTTAGCTCTAATAGAAAATAAATTTCCACATAAAAATATGTTGACAAAGCCAGCTTCACAATAAATAATTTATTTTATAGATACAGCACAAAGAGGAGTAAGCTTTATATTTTAGCTGTAAAAATATTATTTCTAAATAGTTCAGTATGGAAGTATCTAAATTCTTTTTATACGTAAATTAACTGTAAAAGTACTTGTGCCTCTGGAATTTTTTAATTAGAGATTTTTTGTTTGTTTTGTTGGTTATGTGTGTGTGTGTGTTTTTTTTTTTTCTGATGAGGTGGGAGAGACATACTTGGTGATTCTCAGGACACCATATGGTACCAGAGACTGAACCCAGGTTCCCTCCATACAAAGCTGGTACTCCATCCCTCTGGAACTTCCTACCTATCCGAAAAGGTGGAAAACCCTGTCAGGAGGGCCCCTGGGATATTTTTTGGTGGGGAGCATACCAAGCTGTTATCAGGGCTTACTTTTGTCTCTGCACTCGGGGATCACACTTGACAGGGCTTAGGGACCATATGTGGTGCAGAAGATCCAACTCTGGCCAGCTGCATGCAAGGCAAGCACTCTACTTGATGAACTAGCACTCTAGCCTCACAGACCCTGGAATTTTTTATATTAAGTATTAATATGTATTTGGGGGAAACGACTTTCTCTAGAACATTTTGTAACTTGTGTCTTAAAGAAAACTCCATTTCCTGTCTACAAATGATCACTGTAAAGTTTTGACAGTCACCCATAAACAAAGGAGAAAGTATAGTCCAAGATATTTTCTCACATCAGTATGTGTTTATATTTCTCACATCAAATATATTTCTCACTACAGAGCTGTGCGGACTCTAGATATCAAAAGGCCACCCGAGAGAATTAACACTTACTGGTGAAAAACCAGTATCTAAGCCTTCGATCAAACGAGAAACATGTCCCACTGTCCATGATGCTGTGGCTGCAGAAACTTGCTTTGTTTATTTATTTTTATTTGTTTGTTTGGGGGTCACACCCAGCAATGCTCAGGGGTTACTCCTAGCTCTGTACTCAGAAACTATGTCTGTTGGTGCTCGGAGAACCATATGGGATGCTGGGGATCCAAACTATGCTACCTGCTGTACTATCACTCTGGCCTGAGAAATTTGCTTTAATAACCCAGGAAATCCCTGGGGTTTCAGCTGGTCCCTGAGGGTGTATCCAGCTGAAAGAGGGAGGGGATTTGTAGCTTAATAGACAAGATAAAGATATTAAAAATACAATCCTTAAGGGATGCTTAGAAATCAAGAGAAGTTATAGGAAATGCCAAGCAGTTTTATTTGAACAATTGAAGATGTTGGACAATTAGGTCTGGGAAATGAAAGAAGAAGAAATGTTACTGAGAAAAAATTAGATTGGAGAAAGAAAATAGAATTAAGAGCTCACAGCTGACCTAAGAGAAGGGAAACGCCAAGTCACTCAGCAGCATGTCAAGTGAGGCAGCTGTGTTTCGGGGTACTCACAGGCATTTTCTCAAAGACTTCAGTTGAAATAATTCCATACTATCCTCCATTGAGTGGAATGCTGATTTTCTTATTTGAAACTAGGACAGAAAAATAATCTTTGATCATACTAGATATACCATATATTTGCATGGTGAATTTATTCATCTTCTCATCCTGAGCAGCAAAGTAAGCAGAGAAAATCATAAATTCATTTAGCTTTCTAGGGTACTGAGCTAAGAATTACCAGCATTGCAGCATGCAGCATCTCTCATCATACGGGTGCAGAATGGTCATTTGCATCGTTCTTGTGTTGATGCACGTGAAGTCATGCACTTAAGTGTGCCATATAAAATATGATAGTCAAACAGGCATAACAACCCATTGGAAGTGACTGGAACCATTATTTAAAATTTCAAATTAGGGGCAGAGAGATAAAAGAGATAAAAGAGTGGGCACTTGCCTCACACACAGTGCATCACACACATATTGTCTCCTGAGTACCATCATGAGTGATGCCTGGGCACAGAGACAGGAGAAAAGTCTGAGCACACTCAGGTGTGGCCTCAAACCAAACCAACCAAAAAAGCCAAAAGAATAAAACCGTGTCACAAGTGCCTCAACTTCTCAAATTCAGTTCTTTATCAAGCGTTTGATAAAGACAGTGCAGCAACTTGACTTCTGTGAACTTGAAAGCAATTTGACAAAGTAATACCCACATAATTTAAAAACTCACTTTATTTTATTCTTTTTGACCACAACTACTAATAGAAGTATGCTTGTTAACCTCTCGGACTTTAGAATTAGGTTGTACTTTTCCACTCTTTTTTGTCCAAAATGATTAAATGATTTTCACAAGATACTTGCTTTTTATCACAGCTCTCACCCAAACAACAACAAATAAACAATACAAATCTACACACACACACACACACAAACACACACACAATACAGCTTTCCAGAGATCACAGCCTACCATGTTGAAACTGGAAATTGCCTCAGGGTAGAGGTTTATGCTGCATCTATAGATAGCACTGTGTTTTTTTCAGAAATGTAAAGTATGGCCAGGAACACCTTGTTAATTCACTGGGGTGGCCTGGGACATTTCAGCATACGATTTGGGAACCATGGATTAATTAACCCATATGACCCTAGATATTCTCATCCTGAAAATTTCTCATTTTGTTCCTTCTGGTTTTCAGATGTTAAAATTTTTAAAGAACTAGAAAAGAGTCTCATAAGAGAGTCTTTAGTTTTCACTTGATTCTATAACCTTTTCTAGGTCTTTGATAGCTCATGCCTGCCATATTTTCAGTAATATTACTGATCCCGGGATATAGAGCACATGTTTGATATGTGTGAAGCCCTGGGTTTTATCCCTGGCACCATATGGTCCTTTAAGCCCTGCCAGATTTTGTTACCCAAACCTGAAAACAGTAGTAGCAAAATAACATCACCTCCATTTTATCAGAAATACCCCTGTATATATGCAAATATGCTCTGCATTGTTGTATATGGACTGCACTATTGTGTAAAATCCTACTGGTGCTTCTTTTAGAAGAGAACTTCAGTCCTACATCTCTACCATTTTTGTCTTTCTGTGTTTGGTCATTAATTATGTTTTTTAAAATTTTGATTAAGTTCCTCATCAACTTAATGTTGCTTTAAGTCATTTTTCTGTTTTAGTTATTGTCCATGTTAAGAAATTGTCCTCTTCAACATATGTTTAAATAATGGCGAGAGTCTCTCCGTGAACTTTCAGTTCAACTGACCTCACTGCTTGTGATTTTATCAACGATAAATTCTAATACTTCTAAAGCATTCTTATATTCTTATATTCCCTTGGATCCAATAAGGTGGACATCTTCCTTTGGATATAAAGAAAAAAACACATGGAAAGATATAATAATACTGATGTCATATTGATGGTTCTACTTGCTATAGCTTTAAAAGTTAAAGTCATTTTGGATCCAAGGAAATAAGCAGAACTATTTACTGCATCTGCCATATGACAAAAGAATGTGGGAGTGGAATTGGGACATTTTCATTTATGGATCATTAACCTTCCAATTTTAGAAGTCATGATACTTTATATTTGTCATAGCACTTTAAAACAGCTGATGCGTTTTCAAATATTTTCCTTTGTGCTATAATTTGCCTAATTTTAAATACATTGATTATATACATATTATCCCAAGTATGAAAACAAGGTAAAGTAATTTTAAAACATAGTTTTTTCAATAATTTATATATCAAGATTGCCTCGACTTCACTCAGGGCACTTATCTTCCTAACTATTAGTAGCTATGAAAAAGCATAGAATTCCAATAATGGTCTTTGTTCATCCTATGGTAAGTGTATGTTTAAAGCTATCATCAGGAATCATAATAGCAAGAATAAGTAAATCCTAAGAGATGATATAAAAGTATAAGATACCACAGCCATTAATCCTGAAATACAGGGTATCTCTAACTCTAAACACTACACAGCTAATAAATTTAATACGAATTGAATTGAAATGGCATAAGCAAAATTGAGCTTGATATGTGTTTTCATTAAAAAACAGAAACTTATGCACAAAGTGTATATATATTTGATTAAAAAAATTAGCCTCTGGTTATGAGACAGAGTTTTTTTTTCTTTCACTTTCTTTTGTTGGTTTTGGTTTGGGGTGGGCGTGGACTTTGCAGATGCACTCCATGGCTACTAATTCTAATTTCATCTTCCTCATGGATGTCTTGGCACATTCCACATGAAATGCATGATATTGCATGTGCTTTCTTCTTTGCTGTGGCCTCTGCTATATCATTTTTTTGCTTCCAGATAGCGGTGGGTGTGCTCGCAAACGTGCTGCCATGTCCGTAACATTAACATCTGTGAAGAGAGTTCAAAGTTCTCCAAACCTTTTGGCTGCAGGTATAATATCACTAACTCACAGCACATCACCATTGAATGGCTCTCTGACTTTTCAGGATTGATCTTGTTTGGAATGATTCAAGTGGCTGTAATTACCTTCCTAATGCCCCTCAGGTTCTTGTTTTCTCTTGTCTCAAAAACAGCTCCTATCCCTTTGGACCGTTTCTGTTCTAAAAATAAAAGCTCAAAGGAAACTGATATCTTGGAGAAAACATTTTTAAAATCTAATTAAAAACTCCAGACCCTTGCCAATAATGTCTTGAGTAATGGCAAGTGTTAATAGCTATTTCAGTTTTTGTATCTCATGAACTAAGTAATACGATATTTAGTTACAATAGTTCATATGTTCTTTAGTTGTTCTTTACCTAAACCTGCTGGAGATTGGGGCATAGTGGGTCAGGGAGACAGCTTTGCAGAACACCTGATTTTTATCATTGACTCCTTCACTAAAGGTTTCAAGTAGAATGCTGGAATATTTGTCTTCAAAGAAGCCTTAAGTCTTCCTTTAATTTAATTTGCAAAGACCTTTCTTATCTATATCGTTAACATCTTGGTCTAATTAATATCAACACCCACAAATACCAATATATTCTGGAAAGCTGGGCACATGCTATTTCAGGATCCACTGAAGTGTGGACCTTTTGTAATGAACATCTGGCCACAGTTTACCAAATCCTCTGAGAGGCAAGTTCTGGTCTGGAAGACTCAGGTAAGCACAGCGTCTGCAGCATCTCTAAGTCCTGAAAGACACCAACATCCTGGTGACTGGGTGGTTTGTGGATGAGATGGTTTGATTGTTGTTGGTTAGTTTGGTATTCTGTTTTCAAATTCATACTTGGAGATGTGGAAGCAGAAGACAGGATGGAGCATTAAAGTTTAATTCTTACTGTGCATTAATCATCACTGTCTTTTCCACACTTCCTTAGTAGTTCAATACTCAAGGTGTTGCTGGTTTTAATATCACTCACTCCTAAATTACCTAACCTCGTCAGGGGCAAAGAGCAAACTTCCTTTCAGAGAAGCACACTCCTGTCCATCACCTGTACAAACCTACAAATGAATTTCAATGTCAGTATTATATATGAAGATGCATTTGATAGTTACTAATAAAAACCAGGTGATATCATATGGGATTTTTTTAATGCAAACTTTGCTGCAGAGTATTTATCTCTTAGTATAAAAACACTTTGATAATCAAGATCAAACCAATAAGTGATTCTGTGATAATCAGGCCACGGAGAAAAAAAAAACAGGTTCCTTTTTATAGTCAGAGAAAACTTTATTCCTGTGTCACAATTTTCCATTCTTAAAAAAAAATAATTTGACAAACATTCTTTCTGTCTGAGAATGTAATCATTTCCCAAGATCAAGAGAATTTGTCAGAATTAAATAAGGGAAAATGAATAAGATAGATGAAATTACATTATTACGGTGTTTAGAAACACAGCTGGTTTTTAATTTGTTGACTTGAATTTAATCAATAATGTTTAAACTGATTTTTGCAAAGCACTTGAACTCTAAAGAAAGGAGTTGCAAGAAACTCAATTATACTAATTTTTAAGTGATGTATAGTTTATAATTTCTATATAATATGTGCATATATACATCTGTACCTTAAAAAAGAATTTAAATAAGATCTAAGCAAAGATGGGAAGGTAATAGATTCCACAAGCATGGCTACATAAAAATCATAATACAAGAATTATTAAGTTGGAAGGAAACTTTAAAGATATTCAGGCCAATCTTGAGTCAGGAAAGCCTGAATCAGTAGGTCAAATAAATTTGGATACCTCTGATTTAAGTAAGAATTTCAGTCATTTCTACCTCCATCAAATCTAGATTCAAAAATAGAGTGTATTTTATGTATAACTCTTCAAAGCTACGCTTATTGTATAGCACCTGTTTCATTACTCCGATTTTTAATCCACCGAAGATAAGGTTCAGTGCGCTGATTTAGAACTTTTGTCACTGAACTGGAAGGTTTGTAAGTTTTTTCTGATTTATCTGAGCTAAAATGATTAGGTTCACATTTATTTCTCTTTCATTGGTTCAGAAAATAATCAGTATCAAATATTTAATATGGAATTTGGCATTTTTTAAATTAATTTTGTCAATCCCAAAGTCATGTGTTTAGATTTCAGGATTTAACTATTAGATTTAACTATTCCTTAAGCATTATATGTGACATAAACTATTAGTTATATTAATCATTGAAATAACAATAACTTAATGATGAAACCCAGGAAATATGTAGAAGGAATCCAAACACTGGCCAGCAGGTTTCATTATGGCTATACTAAGCTCCTTTCCTAAGTTAAAACCTTATGATTCCAGATGAAGTTGAGCAAATGATGTTAGTTACAGAAGATTCTAAATGTGTAATTCTAACAAAACTGATAGCAAATAGGTCTCTAATCCAGTTTCCAACTGTATTATCAAGAGCAATTTATAATACTGAAGTTTATATTCTGCAGGTTATTAGCAGTAAGTTATGACAACTCCCATATTTGAATATAAAATGACTTTTAAGTATCAATAAAAGGAAAAGTCAAAGTTTAGAAAATGAAGTGATCACACAGTATATAACATATTTATACTTTATGAAAGTAAAAAAAGCATTCAAATTACAAAATGTTGATCCTTTGTAACACAATACTTACAGATGAACAATAACAAAAGGAAATAGAAAAAAAAATCTGGTGGTTTGATTTAATACTGACAGAAGCAGTCATTTTTGATCCTTTAACTTGATATTTAAAAATTTGGGCAATAATAGAATTAAAATTATGTGACTTCCATATTATAGAAGAAAAATATTGGTACTTGACATATATAGACATTTATGTATGTTAATTATATAGATATTTGATTGATTTCTTAAGTAAAAATTCATTTTCAAGTCTCCCATGAGCATGTTTTACTTATCCGGAGTTTTAAAACTGAGACAATATTTGCCAAAAAATGCTTGTGGCTCTTTGCCAAATCTTTTTTACTTTATTGTTCATTTCTTTTACCCTACTATTGATTTTAATTTTTTTTCTTTCAGGGCGTGATTCACATTCACCAGACTCAGGTACAAAAAAAGTTATTCTGAAATAACCTCTACATTTACTGTGAGTCTCTAAAAAAAAACATGCATAACTGTAATGTTTTATCTCACTGTAAACTGAAATTGCATATGGCTGTTCCTATTAAATTTCTAGAATCAAGACTTCAGTTTTGGAAACAAAATCAATTTTATTTAAAAACATTATAAGTGGGTGTGAAGTATTCTGGGGTTAAAGCATACTCATTATATGCAGGAAGCCCTATTAGATTCCTGGCATGGCAGAGAAGTGCCCAAGTCTCACTACATCCTCAAGGCCTCACATTGAACTACTTCGCAATTGGCACAGGATCTTTGCAGGGGCTTCTGGGCCTCCAAAGCAGTGCTTGAGAGACCCCAAATAATAATAATAATAATAATAATAATAATAATAATAATAATAAAATAGAATAAAATTAAAACGTTACAAATGAATGTAGATATTTTTGTATCCGATTTGTTTTCCTTTAATAAAAGCTTGGAGATCTTACAATGATCGAAATCAAGACACACTGAATGGAGATGCTACATATTCCTCTCTTGCAGCAAAAGGTTTTAGAAGTGTTCGACCAAACCTGCAAGAAAAAAAATCACCAACACAGGTAATCCTCTGCGCTCATGTACTGTGCTATTTTAAAGCAGAGTTATTAGGTCATTACTTCACAAACGTGCTACTTTTTTTTTCTAGTCAGGTGCATATTTTGATGTGTTTGACTTGTATTGTGTTTTTTGTATTTGAGTTACTTGCCAGATTAGTATTTTCATCTTGTGAGATAAGTTTTAAGTTTAAAACAGATATTTGGTTTTTCCCTTTTTCTGAGTTTGTTTATAAAAATAGGCAAGTTTTTTATATAAGGTTTAGAGTATTTTAGAATTCTTGCAAAAAGAACTTCAACTCATGATTTGGATTGCAAAATTGTAAGTCAGCAGTAATTATATCTAGTCAATAAATATGTTATACAACTAGTCTTAATATTAGCTAAAGAAACTGTCTTAGAGATATTGCTAAAATTATGACACAGAGTAACTGTTTTATTGAATATTATATATACAATATATCCTATATAAATATATTAGATAGATAGATAGATAGATAGATCAAGGTCTGTAGTATCCAAGGGCAACCATTGATGATAAATTAAAGTGCATTATAAATGGAGTAAATGTGATTATCCAATCTAGCTTGCAAAATGCATAGCATACTACAAGGTGTGATAATGGTTCTGCCTTATTTAAGGATAGAACTGTTTCTTTAGTTACTAATGTTGACTTTCTCTCTGTTTCTCTTTCAATGTGATTTCTTCCTCTGATTGCTTTTGCCAACCCAGGCCCCCTTTCCACCACCCAGAAAAGAGAGCCTGGGTAGCCCATTGAGAACTGATCCCACAAAGATTGATCTTTTAGGTTCACTATTAACCAACACACAAATTCCTTCCTGTCTAGAGGACATTGCTAATAAAACTCTTCAGGAAGCTATGTATTCTAAGGAAGATACCAACCAGACAATCGTGTATTCTGAAGAATCTAACACAACTGTGTCATATACACAAAAAATCACTAATTCACCACCAGCTACATCCAGTGCAGGTCCCTCACCAAATGCTGACACGACTTCCCCATTGCTCCAAGAGGACTACACGCAAGATTCTCAGACTCGGAAGGTTTCTACCTTGAAACTAATCCATAACCAAGAACCAGGAACTAGCAACCCCCTTAATGCCTCATTAGTTTCCAAAGCAGATGAAGTACCACCATTTCCCAAAAGGCCTTGCTCACCAGCTGCTAATCCAGAGCCAGAGGTACACAAAGCATCCCTTTCCATCCAGATAGCTCCCCTTTCAGGCCAGGATCCTGAAAACAAGAAACCTGAACTTTCTCCAGTGACTACAAAGATACCGCTTCAGCAAGAGGAGCAAAACCCTGCAGCTGCTGTGGCCCAGTCCTCAGACTGTCCTGTGGTACCTTATCTTTGCCAGTTTCTTCTCTCAGGTGGACTTTAGACCTCCTAACACTGAAGTCCATGCTTCTTACGTAAACTAATGCTTTGCTAGCCTTCAGGCTGAAAGGGAAAGGAGAAAGAAACCTCTTCCGACATAAAACCTATAAATCCATCTAGACATTCCTAGGTGTTCTGCATTTTAAACTTAGATGAATCTCTTTGATCTGTAAGTCATGTTTCTTCCTTTAAGCTCTTTACGTTGAAAATCATCAGTGGTCAATGTCACTTTAAGCGATCAACCACTTTAGTGTTAAGGGCATTTTTAAGTTTTATAGACACATTTTTTTCATGTGCACCTCCTTTATTTGCATTTACAAAATATCTTAAAATAATTGATGAAGGGCCTGGGAGGTGATCTGGGTTGAATGCTGATGAGCATGGAAGGCCCCAAGTTTGAATCTGGGCCCCATATGGTCCCCTGTGTAGCACCAGAGTATTTCTGGTGATCCCTAGCCCCTCCACGTCTGAGCACATCACATTACTGGGCCCAGATACTGAACTGCCTGTCCAGGTAGGTGCCAGTTATCACTGGGAGAGGCCTATGAAACTCCTGACTAGTGTTTTGTAGGCCAACCTTGTCCCCCTCAAAAAAAGCAAAGAGACAGAGAGAGAGAGAGAGAGAGAGAGAGAGAGAGAGAGAGAGAGAGAGAGAGAATTGCTGATTATAATTTATTCTCACAGGAAACTTTCGCCTTCTTTCAAGCATTTACTCCTTTGTAGCTTTGTAGATCATTTTTCACTGAAACTTGATCAATTTCTATTTCTTTTTTAATTTATCACTTCAGAAAGCATATTTATTAGCCTTTAATACCTAGGCTGCTAGGGAGTAACTATTTATTTACATGTAAAATCTCTCATGGCAACATTCTACTGACATATATTACTTGTTGTTTTATTTGTTTTGTTTTTTTGCTTTTTGGGTCACACCCAGTAATGCACAGGGGCTACTCCTGGTTCATGCACTCAGAAATTACTCCTGGCCATGCTCGGGGGACCACATGGGATGCTGGGAATCGAACCCGGGTCGGGCCACGTGCAAGGCAAACGCCCTACCCGCTGTGCTATCGCTCCAGCCCCTACCTGGTTTTTTTTTTAAGAGAAATATAATTTCTCTTCTCAGCTTCACCACTAAATGATTGTAGGTTATCCATAAGCTTTAAGGATAAAATAGATTTCAATCTAAACTCCATCTTGGGTTCTGGAATGAGGCAACTGGCTTAAATTCCCTGAGTGAGAACCATAAAAATAAATGAGAATACTATTTCATCCTCAATCCATAAATTGCTGTAGGATTAGGGAAATAATAGAAATAAATTACTTAGAACAAAAAAGACCTAGTATAAATAACTGGTAGCCATTAATTAAAGATATTTAATACTAGCAGCAATAGCAGTAGGAGAGTATTAAAATACCAGTAACTGGGCCTGGAGAGATAGAATAGGGGGTAAGGTGCTTTCCCCAGCACCCCTTATTGTCCCCTAATTTTTCCAGAGCCAAGAGTAAGTCCTGAGCACTGTTGGGTGTGGCCCCAAAACCAAAGGCCAAGGGACATTGCTCAAATCTTCCTGATTCTAGATTCATAACTCAATCAGTAGTTTCCATTGTCTTTCTTTTCTGACCTAAACTGATTCTTGAACTCCACCCTCTGGTAATGATCTTAAACATAATACCATCTCAGATTCAAAGTCATATTCCTGATCTATGCCCTGAGTATACCACAGAATACAGTGGGAGGGTTTATATTCCCAATGTAGACACTACGCTTCATCCACATGTCCAATTCTATGTAAACATTTTGATCACTTTTCTCCTAGTCTTGAATCAGAATTATATAGTTAAGGTCTTTGGTAAAAGGATTTGTTGATATTTCTAGTATAGGGCAATCACGTGTCATTGGAATGCATGGGTGCAATTGTGGGGCTATTCACTTGTAAAAGGGATATTTGGAGTAAGAGGGGGCCACTGCGTGATATTTTTCTGAAAAGAGGGCAGTGTGCCAGATAAGTGTGGGGAGCTCTGATGGTCTTCCACCGCTGGCAGGTGGAAGATTGAACACCACGGTCTACTACCATGATTATACTTGCCAGTTAGTGGACTGGAGAGCAGGAGAGCTGACACTCCACAGGTGTGAAAAGGTGGAAGAACTCTGAGCGAGGCTCTCTTCACTCGTACGGGCCATCCATTTCCTGTTGCTCTGAGAGTCAGCCCATCTGCCTCTCTTACTTTCTGGTCTCTCGTTACTTGGTTCTGTCTCTCTTACTTTCTACCCTTTAGTTAGATAATGCCAGTGGATTTCTACATTCTCTGGTTCCAGTTCTCTTCACCTGAGGTTGTAGTGTACACAGGAATCGGACTGAGATGTCCAGTTATCATAGGCTTGACATACCTCAGCCCCATTATTCCCTCTTTGCTCCTTCAACAATCTGTGTGGCAAGTGAAGCAATCACCTGCTTAGAGATTTCTAATACCAGTTTAGGCACTTCTCTTCTCCCCCTCTCGTGGGTCTGGATGAAGAGAAGGTCAGTTACCACAGAATTAAGAAAAGCTGGCAAGTACAGATTGACTATATTTTCCATAAAATTTTTAGGTTGACAAAATGTATTATAAGTGTGAAATCTTAACAATGCTATAGGTAATTGTGCAATAAAATCCATCCTAAGTTAGTACCCATCATAAGGTTTTCAGCCAGATTCATTATTTAGTCATTCACTTTTAACTGATAACTCCAATGGTTTTTTATTAAGAAGTAGAGAACAAAATACATCAAGTCCCTTCGCTTGATATTTAATTTTAAAATACTGAAAAGTTGAGCTGTAGGTATATTTAAAATGATGTAATTTTAAGTTTGATTACTTTATTATTTAAGATTATCACAGGGCCTATGGGAGATGATCAAAGCATGGCTAGTTTCTCAACTGGAAATGAAATCAGGAAAAAACAGATTTTAAAAATATTTGCTTTCGTTAAAAAATTAAGGATACAATTTTTGCCTTTTTCTTTAATATGGCTTGGCATGGCCCAGGCCATTATTTAAACTTTGTATAATTTTATTCATGTTCATTCTATTTACATCATTTTTTTTACCTAAGAACACATTAAAATTTTTATCTTGATAATTGACTTCTTGCCTCTGCATTTAATTTTGCATCACTTTCCTCATCCTAGGACTGATCTACCAAACAATTTCCTCTTGCCACACCTCAAATCCATACCAAGCTCACATCTTTACACATCTACCTTCCACAGACTCTTAGTCAACAAACCACTGGCCTAGAGGTTGGTGACTAGAGTTACATTTTGATGTGTCTATAGCAAGCAGTTAGGGTGTTTGCCTTGCATGCGGCCAACCCGCGTTCGATTCCCCTGTCCCTCTCGGAGAGCCTGGCAAGCTACCAAGAATATATCACCTGCACGGCAGAGCCTGACAAGCTCCCCATGGCATATTCGATATGCCAAAAACAGTAACAAGTCTCACAATGGAGATGTTACTGGTGCTCGCTCAAGCAAATCAATGAACAATGGGAGGACAGTACTACAGTGCTCAGTGCCACAGTGCTCATTTTCTTTTGATTTTGATTGCTATGCAAAAGCCTATGACTTCTACAGTTCCCTCCAGGTGCAATCATTCTTTTTTATCAAACATTTGCCTGGCATGCATATTGGATTGCTATTATCACACTAGGCTGGCATTTAGATTTTCAATATCTGTATACAGCAACATGTCTACAAAGCCATTGTTTATATCCAACCGACTACTTTTCAATACCAAAGCTCAACTTCCTGAGTCTTTTCACTCTTTGCCTCCTCCAGGAGTTTAAACCAGACTTGGTTATCTCTTCCATCCACAGGTTCTCCTTAGCATTCCGGTTACAATTCAGCTGACCTAGAGGTTCAGAACTAGGCTCTCTGCCCTAGAATAGTAAATGTGTTGGGTTTAAGCTCTGACACTTTCTTTTGTAGAAATGAGGCAGGTGTTTCTAGCTCTTCTTTCCCTCAATACTGGACAATTCGGGAAAGTAACAGAGAAGTTTACTCCCAAGAAGATGATGACCCTCTTTAGCTGGTCTTGGAAGATGGAGACCCAAAGCAGTTAGGATGATTTTCTGCAGATTATCTGCTTTCTACCAAGTCAGTAAGATTAAAAAAAAAAAACACTGTTCTTGTTTTAAGTCAGTTATTTCCACATCTAAGTTAGACAGATTGATACTTCCTTCTTCCTTTTCACACGTTTCTTCCTACTTCACATCTTTATCAAGGAAACACATATAAGTGATTTTCTTTCCTCTAGTTTCCCAGAAGGTATTTAATTAATGTGGAGATCAGGGAGATATGAAAAAAACAGTGCAAGTTAGTCTTATAGGTTACTTGAATTCTTTGTCACAAGGTATTTCAAAGCTTTTTGAATGGGTAACCATTCAAACTGACTGTTGAATTTTTTAGCAAAAAGTATAGCGATAGAACTTTTAAGTGTGGCATCACACATATGCACACACACACACACACACACATTGTATAAGCCAATACCAGGGATGAGATAAATAGTATAGGAATTAAGGCACTATTTGCCTTAAATATGCTATATGCAGGGGTTCCATTTCTGGCACTGCATGATTCCCCACCACCACTAGGAACGATCCCTGAGCATAGAACCAGAAGTAAGTCCTGAATAAAATTAGATGTGGCCCATCCTCCACTCCAACACCCCACCCCACAAAGTCTAATTTGCTAGCATATCAGAAGAGGCAATAAGAAGAATTTTAAAAGTGAAGTATTTTGGTTTTTGGTAGTCACTCTCTTTGAAAGAACAAATTAATGGATAAAGACTATTCCAAGACACAATAGGAGACAAAATAAACTGATCCTATTAGTTATGGCTATGATGATTCTTAAAGATAATATTCTTAGACATTTGATATATTTAACAAGTCCAAAAGATACAGGAGTGGGTCCCCCCAAAAAATAAAGAAATGCGTACAGTGAGTACGCTGAGAGCAGGGGATGTGACTCAGCAATAAACTGCTTGCTTCACAATGTCACATGTGTCAGGCCCTGGGCTCAAACCTCAACAATTATAATACCTATGAATCCTAACATTTATGTGCAATTTTATGTGTAGATAAATATGTATTCATACATGTACATATACATGAGTTTGTACTTTTGGCTATTTTTGTGTGGGGGAGGGTCACGCCTAGCAGTGCGTATGAGAAGCCAGGTATCAAACACAGGTTGGCCACATGCTCTATTCACTGTACTTTTCCTCTGGCCCCTGTGCATTTTTTAAGAGGAAGACCAGTAGCTTTTATCGTATTTTACATTCTCACACTTTTTAAATAAATGATTTTTTAAAAATCTGCCAAAAGGATTTTTTTATGTAGTGGAGTTTTAGAGCATTCGATTAAAAGTCTTAGGGAAAAAGAAGAATTTTCATAAGATAAGCAGTCTCTATGACATTAGCTGCAGTGAAAATGAGTGGCCAAGAATACCACATAGTGCTTTCTTAACCCTTCACTGTGCAAGATTCCTAAGGTTATACAATTCTTTTCATCAATTCCCCATCCTTGCATTGAAATGTTTTTGGCTCACCCTGTCTTATAACTGACACCACACCAAGCACTACAACAGAACAAAACACATCTACTCTGGTAAGGAAGAATAAGAAAAAACGTTTTTCATTTAAATGTGCCCACACTCTTATAAGCAACTTCTCTATCTACTATGCGTATAGTCTTAATTTTTCAAACCTTTCCTTCTGCTCAGTTTCTTTCTCTTTTACCTAGATTTAAAAGATTTAAAAGATCTAAACCAATAAGTTGTTCTAACCAACAAGGTTACATGCTAACCATCATCAGTGGCTGGTGTTTGTCTTCACTTCATTTTCACACATAAGCACCTCTATTTGCACTGCTAGAATATTTTAAATTTCAATTTACTTTCCTTGTTTTAGTGCTAACGGAAATAGATTCATTAAGTGGAAAGGACACAAAGTCTACGTTCCACTTAGTTTTTTTTAGTTTGACCAACCCTTCACTGTCACTGTCACTGTCCTCCTGCTGTTCATCGATTTGCTCGGGCGGGCCCAGTAACATTGTGTGACTTGTTGTTACTGTGTTTGGCATATCAAATACATCACGGGGAGCTTGCTAGGCTTTGCCGTGTGGGCTAAATACTCTCGGTAGCTTGCCGGGTTCTCTGAGAGGGTTGGAAGAATTGAACCCGGGTCGGCCGGGCCGGCTACGTGCAAGGCAAATGCCCTACCCACTGTGCTATTGCTCCAGCCCTTAAATTAAAAAAAGAAAAAATTAAGGCTACTGAATTTATGTTTTTTGAAACATTTTCTGGGGATAGGTTGTAGGAAGTCTACAACAAATCTTATTAAGTAAAGGAAAAATAATATAACCTGCTAAGCCACAGACAACAACTACCATTTCACTGTTACCACTATAGAAATGGTTTCAGAGGAAAAAATTCTAGGATGTCTACTTTCTCAAGCCCCCAAATTACAATGCAGTGCTGTGTGAAAATTAGTTGTTTTCTCAAAAACACTTGTTAGATTCACTTTCTTCACAGTTTCCTATCTCTTTTCTGGACCACATGGTTAGCAATTAATCCTTCTGACTGTATTTCTTTCAAAGGCTTGCAAATGAAACTGGTGCTTTGCCGTCTCATCACATTGCGCACACACAGAAAAGATGTTTTTTGGTGTTTTTTTTTTATGACCGGATAATGTCTATCTCTTTTTATTTTTTCCTCAAACTCAGCTTGGAAACCAGAACTTAACTGCCAAGGTGCTGGAGGTAAATGCTTCACAGATACACAGACAAACCACCCCAGGAGCCTCTTCTCGCCCTTCTGTGTTACCTCTCAGTCGAAGCCCTTTCCTGTCAGAGGAGGGCTCCAAGCCCGCCTCCCGCACCCTGCCTCCACCTGCTGTCTGGAGGCCTTCACCCCTGCACACACTGCCCCGCCTTTCACATCCCCCTCTGCAGGCTTCTGGAAGCCTTATCCAGAACACCACCTCAGACTCACCCACTCCAGACTCCGCCCAGGGCCAGCACTTCTCCCTCTCCTCCAGTGAGTCCTCCCTAGCCATCCCAGATGAGCTGCAGATTGCTGACTCTGACACCACTGACCATTCTGAAACACCTCCCCCCACCGTGGGTCAGAGGTCTGCTGTGACAGATGGCACCACCTTAATCGCCCTTGCTGCCATGCATGTAATTATCTTTCCTTCCTTTCCTCCATGATCTTTTAGACAGAGCTCCAACGGCTCAAAGGACTGATTCCTTGTCTGGCATCACAGTCAGCTGCTGAGTATTTTTATTGGGATAGGTGTTGATGAGTAAACTGACTCTCTGCAGTGGGTCAGGGGAATCCATCACACTCCTGCTCCTCATGAACCTGCTTCAGAGATGCCGTAATAATCTCTTCGTTAGTTTTAGAGTCACTTCTGTTTAGATTGTATTGCTCTAGTGAATGATTTGCACAGACAATTGCTGGAGCAGAAGTCGAGATCGGTGTACTATTGCTTTGAGTGGATCACAAATTGTTCAACATTTTTAACCCGCCATTAAATCCTGGTAGCTAATGTTCACATGACTGGGCGTTGTGGGATGAGTTCGTGCGTCCTTGTTTCTCACACATGTAATTACTACTGCATGATGCTATGGCGTCGTCTTGCTCCCCTTTCACTGACAGTCATGTCTTTTGAATCCATTTTTCCTTCAAGATTGTATGATATAAACAATCTTAATCTGCATTGCAGAAATTTAGCTCTCTGATTTTAAGCTATTTTTTTCTGAGCCATTCTAATGTAGAAAGTTATGAGCCCTTTATTCATCTCCTTATTAAGTATTTACCTTCCATTTAGAGTAGGACATACATATTCTCCATTGTATCGTTACCTATATATCTCAGTGGAAAGTCATCTCTAACATATGATTAATACATTAAGATGCTTCTAAGTAATATGGTACAGATTTTCAATTGCAAAATCTGTTTATATAACAGCTTCAATTTGAACGGTTATGATGGCAAAGCCTGGCAAGCTCCCTGTGACGTATTCAATATGCCAAACACAGTCACAAAAAGTCTCATGATGGGGACGTTACTGGGCCCGCTCGAGCAAAATCGATGAACAACGGGAGGACAGTGATACAGTGATACGGTGATGTGACTTACAAGACAAAATAAATTCTATTTTTCCTAAAATAGAATTTATGATGAAATTTCAAGTGAGCACTATCATAGAATATTAATTGTGCTGCACAGGTTATATGTAATATTAAGTTCATAAATAAAAATCCTGTATATGGAGAAATGTATTTTTAATAATATATGTTTTTAAGATATACTCACAAAAGACAAAAGGTATTTTTTAGAGTCTTTACAAAATATTTAATGATGTTTTTGACAGTTCTTAGTATTCAATAAATTGCTGAGCCTAAGACTTTGCATTGACATGTTCCATTTGGCGTCTGACTGCAGAAGGAGCCTCAGGATTCCCACCTCCAAAGTCCCTCCTCTCCCTGCAATTCAGAAACTCAGCAGGCCTCCACTTCCCACAGTTTATGACACTTCCTAGAGTTCTTAACTTTTAGAATATTAAAGAATTGTTAGAACCTTTACTCAAAATATAAATTGGTTTTTGGGTATTAATATATATGTACTAACTCATTTTAATTTTCTGTTTGCATCATTTTGGGGTCTCTGAAATGTCTTATGGGCACAATAAAGGCTAACTGTAACTAAAATTAATTTCAAGTAGCAGTTTAAATTTCTCATATGTTCTTGATGAAGTGATTTTCCTAAGAATTATTTTTTACTATAAATATAACCATGTACTTTCTTAAATTTGAATGAAACTCATTGTAAAATCCTAATGAATTAAACTAGAGAAAGAGTTCATCTATTTGCATGATTTGTTTTATTCCGTAATCAGTATTATTGAAACTATCAGACAGAATTCAAGGCAATGTACCAAAATTTAGTAACAGAGGACTACATATTTTAGTAAGAATTCTCCTGCTTTTAACATTGCATTTAGCACATTATTGCATAGGCCAAATCTGGAATATTCAAATAGCAGTGCTCTTCAGAGAGAAGGTTCATAAATTTTGCTTGTCTGATATGAAAATGATTTCTCTAACAGCTTAGGGAAGTTCTTAGTAAGCACAATGAAATGTTTATTGACTTTAGGAAAGATGTCATATGGTTATAAAGTAATTGAATCAGACTTATTCTCGGTCATTGAAAATCATCTGCTATGAAATGAGAACTATGGAGATGTGTAAATAATTTTTCATCTATTTTCCAAGCCTGTCTAATAAGCTTGTGTTGTTTTGAAATAAGTAGAGTGTGGTCAGACTGTGCAAATACTACATCTGTATTTATATGTGTGTTTGTGTATATTCAGGCTGTACAGTTTTAACTAAGTGTTCTTACTAATGTTTTCTCTCATTTGCATGCGTGATGTGATCACAATGCTTGGTGCTATGTTGTAGATAGATAGGCATGCTTACGTGGTTCCTTCAACCTCTGTGAACTTAGCAGATTCAACTCTAGTATTATCCATTGACCATCTTTTTGTTTATATTGCTGGCACCAAGTTGCCTGCTATGAAACATATCTGCATCTGTGTAAGGCTATTTCCAACAGGAAACTTGAAATACCACTGGGGATATAAATATTCCTCTAAAACAATGTAAAGGACAAATTGTTAAAGAAACAAATAGAAGAGAAATGATGGAGAAACCAGGGGTTTTACTTGTCTCTCTGATGCTTTGCCATGTATTTTATTTTTCTAGAATAGACCACTCCATGATATAGAAACCCAGACAATTGTGTTCCTTCTCTTACTCACCATTCCCTGGAACTGGAGGGTCTCCTAAGTCTGAGGACCAATCCCTTTCCTCATGTCAAAGAAGATGCATTTCACATCCCACGAGCAAAGCAGTATGATCAAATTTTGATCATTTTAGTCACGATTTAGAAGATCAAATCCAGCCTCCACATTTATTTATTTTATACCGATGCCTGCAGTTGCCTTTTGGCATCTCCATGCATAGAGGTGGCATGCTCGCTGTCAGATAATTTTGGTTTTTTGCATCATCTTCTGTGCCCTCTAACTTGGGAGAATGATTTTCAAACAAAAACAAATGTGGAAAAGACACTGAAAACATGAAGTTCTAGACACCAGTTTTCAAAGTAAATAAAAACTGGCAACTGACTATTGTCATGTGAATGGAATCATTTATTGGTATCTAATGGAATGCATTTTACCAGGGACTGTGTGCTTTAATAGATGTGTTTGTACTTTCCTCAGAGCCAGATAACAGTGAATGGAAACTCGGGAGGTGCTGTGAGTCCGATGAGTTACTATCAAAGGCCATTTTCCCCTTCAGCTTACTCGCTCCCAGGCTCATTCAATTCAAGCGTTATCATGCAACATGGCCGGTCACTCGGTAAGTCCTTAGACAGTGATGATCATTGACATGAGATCCTTGACAATCTCAATGTAGCCGGTATAAACCACACGAGGGAATTGCAAAGCGCCAACATAACTTTTCCCCAAACGAGGCAGGAACATTTCACACAGTCTATCCTTGAGGAGGAATGTGGGCAGAGAAGCCAACATCCCCCTTGGAGAAAATAGGCACCACCCTTTGAAGGAGACATTGACTTGCATCAATCTCTGAGCCTGGAGAAGACTCTTCTATGTTGGGGTGTGAAGGAGAAAGGAAAGTAGGTGTCAAATTAGGAAAACAAGAATTCACAGCACATTTTAAAGAATGATAAATGACCTCTAAATTTGGCGTCACTTGTGGCTAATGAAAGTTTCATTGTAGAAAAATTGGGGGTTATGTGTAAAGAATAGTTTAACCATTTAAAAGGTTTAAGTGGGGAAAAGGATATCAGGAAAAGGATATTATGTTGGAATATAATAAGTATTCCAATAAAAACATTTTTTTACACTAATAATTTTTTAAATGTAAAAAAAGAAAATTAAAGCAGCAAACTACCATCTGAACTCAAGCTGAAAAAAATTTCCATGGGGCCCTAGAGATAATAGAAATATTAAAGCACTTGTCTTACATGCAGTGACCCTAACTTAATCCCTGGCACCACATATGGTCCGCAGAGCATCACCAGAGTGATCCCCGAGTACAGAACCAAGAGTAAAGTCCTTTGAGCACAGCTGGGTGTGGCCCCAAATTCTCCTATACCCAATCTCTATATTAAGCAACTGGAAGGCTTCCAAGGCATCAGGAAGAAAGAAAGTGGAGGACAGGATGGCCACAGCCCACTTCTCCGAAGATGAGAGAGAGCTTCATCCTCTGACCACAAAATGGCAACTGGGCAAAGCCGACTGCCACCACAGGGGCAATTAAGCCATTGTCTCAATGGCAGTGGTCTGCTTCCACATTTCCCCTGCACTGTTTGATGTTAGAGGAACTGAGAGATGAGGATAGGATTCATTTGCCCAGGAACATTTTAGGTCGATATCCCGCATGCACACTGTGAAACTCAACTTCCGTGGTTAACAAAGCCTTTAGAACTAGACTACTTAAAAGGAGCCAGGAGACTCATTAAGAAAGATTCTAAATTTACGTATCTTTCTTTAAAGCTGCTCCTGGGATCAGCTGTGAATTTTATACTGATGTCGTTTTAAAATAGAAGTGGAACTTCATGGGGCCAAAATGTTGCCCATAATGAGTCCATAATGTCCTTTTATAATGCAAGTTTGTCATATCTTGATTTTCATGAAGCTGTGCATTATAATACAACTATAGTAAAATTACAAATTATGTGAACAGTAGCATTTTCTCAGATAATTATCAAATTTGACTCTTTGTATCCCTTGCCTATTAATGAGCACGGTTTGTTGCTCCCACCTGCCAAACAGCATGTAAACACTTGAATGTAGACAGACTTTTATATTCAAGCATTATCAATGGGTAGGTTTTACATATAAACTACACTATATGGAAAGAAATTCCCCATTTAAACATTGACCAAATTCCAATTGGGTCATGCAAATGTAAATCTTGGGGAGTATATGTGGTCTAGCCCATCTTAGAGAAAGTTTATGTTTAATTGAGGACTAAAGACTAGAAAAATGAAAACAGATGAGCTATATGAAAAAATAATAAAATTAAAGACTAAATTGTAAAATAGTATTATATAAACCATAAGTTCATATAATATAAGCCATATGTGAGTACAGAATTATTACACTATTTGATTAGACTGGGAATTTGTACATATATTTGGTACTCCAAAAATATGTGCTGCTTAATAGGAAAATTACCATTATGGTTACCCCATTCATATCCATTTTGGAAGTAAATGAAAAACTCTCAAATATCAAATTATTAAATAATTACTGGTGAGGGGAAGAGTGTTTGATTATTGTATGACCGAGACTTAAACCTGAAAGCTTTGTAACTTTTCTCACGGTGATTCAATAAATAAATTAAAAAATAAATAAATAAAATAAGAAGAAAAAAAGATTGAAAAATTAAAGCTCCACTCATCAAGTTCTTTAATCCCTTAATTTCTTTTTATAACATCCCTTCTTTCTGCAGCCAGTGGCCTCAATAGATAGAAAAGCAAAAGTCCAGTTGGGTCTGAAAACTCTAGAGTTTATGAACAGGCTAAGGTTGCTGGCCAAATTGCCAGAATTGGCTCAAAACTTTGTCCATTTTCTGAGTATTTTTCCCCAGTCAGAGCAGTGCTTTGTATTGTGGATCAAGTCTTTTATGAGATACGGCCATCCAATATTCTTTCAAGGGACTTTCTTTGTCTGTTATTGATGACATTTGATGAAAAGTTTTTCACTTTGACAAAGTTTTTCTTATCTATTTCTGTAGCTCTTGTTCCTGTGTGCTGTCGAATAAACATTTGTTAAACCAGAAAAAAAATATCAAATTATTTCTCAATTTGGAATTGCTGAGGAGATATTATACATTTATAAAGAATTACAAATAAAATGGTTTTATCCATTTTTTATCAGAAATGAATTGAAAATGTTTTTATCTTAAAAACAAAATTGAAATTACTCACAGTTACAACTGGGGTACAAATTTACCAGGGGTCTAAATTTACCCTTCTAATGATGAGTGAAATTATCTTAATCTTATTTATGAAATGTTATATAAATACACTATAAATTAGTCATTCGGGGCTGGACTGATAGCACAGCAGAAGGGTGTATGACTTGCATGCAGCCGGCCGGGCCGACTTGGGTTCGATTTTTCTGCCCCTCTGGGAGAGCCCGGCAAGCTACCAAGATTATCTGGCCTGCACAGCAAAGCCTGGCAAGCTACCCATGGTGTATTCGATATGCCAAATACAGTATCAAGTCTCACAATAGAGACGTTACTGGGCCCGCTCAAGCAAATCAATGAACAGCAGGAAGACAGTGCTATTGTGCTAGTCATTTTTAGATACATTTTGTATCTAATCAATTAATGCTATCCTGAAGCATCAGGTCACGTCCATATGCACATATGAGCCTTTCTGAGTGACAGATCTGACAGTTCACAGCTAGAAATCTTACTTGGTCATCAGAAATTTTAATTTATGGTAGAAAAATAGGAAGTTATACTATGAGCCAAACCAAATAAATGATATCAATGTTGATTTACAAAAATCTTGGAACAAAGAATAAAGGGCATATGCAGTACACAAAGGTGTAATTTTTTTCTTGTGAAAGTATATTAAAGGTTAATAAAGATCATGTGAAGAGAGAAATACAATAAATCTTATCGAATATAGGCCTAGGACAACTTTCATTCTCAGGCATGAAAAACTGCAAGTTTAGGCGCTTTTACAAATAAAAACAAAGCTATTATGACTGATCATCATGATTATGTAAATAATCAATCATTTAAAATCACTTATTTACATCTAAGTATGTGTTTGAATATGAAATTTGTGTGTTTGTGTATGTGTGTGTGTGTGTTATTTAGAACCATATGTGGAAGCACTTGGGAGCTACTCCTGGCTCTGCTTGTGGCTCATACTTAATTATGTTTGGTGAAGCATGTGGTGCCAGAAATTGAACCCAGGTTCCCTGCATGCAAAGCATGCACTTAGCCCATTGAGCACTCTCTCTGGTACATGTAAAGATTTTTGTGTGTGTGAAGCAAACTAGTTTTGACTGAAATTTATTTAGACAGATGTGGGGGAAGAGAAAGATAGAAGTAGTTGTTAGAGAGAAAACTCAGGCTTCTCCAGAGTAGGAATCACCCAGTAGAGAAACAGAGAGAAAAACTAGCCAGATAAGTGTTCAAGGGAGAATACAGGTTTGAAGAGCAAGCCAAAACTTTTCATATAACTTTTGTTTTCACTTTTTTAATAAAGTTTCTGTCATACACCTAATAATCTATGGTTTGGGGATTTCAAAACTACATTTCAATGTTTTTAAATAGCATAAGTCAATTTAGATATTTTATTTTTTATTTTATTATTTTAAATTAAAGCACCATAATTACACAGTTATTGATAGTTGAGGTTTAGATATACAATATTGCAGCACTGATCCCATCACCAGTTTCAACTTTCTTCTGCCAGTGCTCCCAGTTTCCCTCCCAAATCATCTCCTCCCACCACCCCTTCAGCCTGTCCTCTTGACAGGCACCCCTCTAAGTTCAGTTGTTAAAGGTTGGGTCTCTTGATTTCGGTATTGTTGACTCTGATTTGGATATTTCGTTCTAACACTCCATAGAATGTACCTTTGTACTTTAATTAATGTGACTATTAAAATAATGCAATATTTATAACAAAGTATGAATTATGGTCTAAAAGAAACCAAACCCAGCAGCTTCTTCCTCACCTGAAAACAGACCTCGCCCCACGCCACAAGATGGTTCAAAGCTGATGAGCTTCCGTGTACAGTGCTGTCTGCTTGGGAATAGGCTGGTTCCTGCTTGGGAATAGGCAGCACTGCAGGGACTCGGTGGAGTGACCCCTGGCAGGGTTGGCACGATTCAAGGCAGTGCTAGGGATGGGACTGGGGCTGGCAGCAGGCAAGGCAAGTGCCCTCCCTTCAATTCTGCCTTACTGACACCATACAATGTTTTCTTTTTGTATGCTGAGGGAGAGAAGGAAGTGTGGAACACCCTCCAGTGCTCAGGGCTTGCTCCTGGCTCTGTGCTCAGGGAATATAAGCAGTTCTGGGGATAGAACTGGGACAGGCCACGTGCTTTACCCCTGGTACTATCTCTCTGGCCCTGCTAAGTTCTTTCTTAGCACAGCACCTGCTATGGTCACATGGCTCTCAATAAATTATTCTTCCCCCTCATCCTTTGTTATGAAAATATGAGGATTTTGTTAGACAATATCCACCTACATGCTAACAGTGATTGGGTCAGATATCTTAAAAGAGGTCATGATGGGAAGAGAGACTGTACAAGATAGTTGGCAGGAATACACACGAGATGCCATTAATTTATGATTCCTGATGCATTCAATAGATTTCATCAAATGCTCTCCAACAGATTCCACAGACACCTATCCGCAGCACACACAGTCTCTGGATGGCACCCTGGCCAGCTCAATACCGCTGTACAGATCCTCAGAAGAAGAGAAGAGAGTGACGGTCATCAAGGCCCCACATTACCCGGGGATCGGGCCAGTGGATGAGTCCGGAATCCCCACAGCAATTAGAACGGTAGGAAATGCCAGATGCATGCGCGTCACTCCAGGACTGTGCCCAGCCACTACAAAGGGTGGATTGTGGATAGCTTTGTGCATTCCTGTGGTCTTATATAACGAGGAATGCGCCTTCAGACTTCTCATGAATATTATGCCGTGTGCAGTAAAGTAAGGGCACTGTACTTTGAAGATAAATTGCAGTTTTTCCATTTTAACTGTTAATCATGAAAAATACAGTCTTGTTCAATGATTAGTAGCATGTTTTGTTTTTGTTCTCTTTTAATACTGCTCTTTTTCACGTATTGTTCTTTTTTAATACACAATATATATGTGTATACATATAAAGAAGGGTTAGGGTCAGAGAGAGGAAAGAGAAAGGAGAGCATTGAATTCTCTCTCTGCATTGAACTCCCAGGAGCAACGCAAGTAAACCCGTGGCTTGTTTCTTGAATTGGATGTGTGTTCACACCAGGAGATTGAGAGCTGTGAATTGGGAGCTGGGAGGCGAGATGATTGGAGGGAAGGGAGTTAATGTCATGGAAAGGGAAGTAGGAAAAAATGGTGTGGAGAAAAATACACATTTTAGGTGTCCCTCTTCAGCTGGCCTGCTGAGAGCTCTCTGGGGATGATAAGTGAAAGTGTTTGGATTTTTTTTTATTAGTCTTTAAGCTCTGCCAAAGCATTTCTGAGTATGTCAGGGCAGCCCCTTCTGGCAGAGCTCAGTAGTAGCAGAGGCGGCTGTGGAGAGCTTGAGCAGGCAACAGCTTGCGACCAAGTCAGAGGGTTTGGACTAGCCTGCGTGAGGCAAGGAAGACGGAGCACCAGCATGAGAGCTGCAAGACCTTTGCAGGTGAAATTGGGGGGTGGTGTAAGAATGGGGCTCGGGCTGATATGCTTTGCCTGTAACGTGCACGTATTTGGCTGGGGTGTTGCCAAGAGCTGATTCCTTGGAGTGCCAGCCTAGGGATTGAAGAAAAGAGGAAAAGAGTGGGAAAGACAGAGAAGAGAGAGCAATGGTAAGCTTGGAAACTGGGAAAGAAAAGATGATGGAATGGTTGGAGGGCTCGTCTCCTCTTGGTTTGTATTTATGATGGGGGCTTGCTTGTGCTGTACTCAGAGAGAAGTTAAAAATTAGTCATTCCAAAGATCCGTTATAACTGGAAGTCAGAAAGTAAAGCGGTTGCTGGGTTTTTAGACTTGTTAGATTCTGGAAACACTTAATGTGACTCTAAAAGACTAAAAAAACTTTTGTTGGAGGTATATTTAGATGACTTTAGTATTTAAGTGACAGCAGAAGCTGGGGACTATGACTAATGGTCTTAATTTTATGACAATGACATGTTCTGCTGGTGGTGTTTTGCCATTTATTTCCCTTCGAAGATTTTAAAATGGTTAAATAATCTCTTCTTCTAATAATCTAGGGATGCAGTGTCAGACAGTATGATGTCATTGGTTGTGTTTAACAGACCTTTAAAGAGTGAGACTTTCACTAATTAGGAGATCCCTGCTTCTTGGTAGCTATCGATTTTTTCTAAAAACAATTTTTCTGGGAGCTCCTGGGTGTTTTGAAATCAATGAATGATATATTCAAATGGGTCTTTTTTTCTAAAGAAAAAAAAAACACACTGAGATGTTGTGGATAGTCAGTACAATCAAGTAGTAGGAAAATGTTATATTCTTATCTAGAGTCAGGTCAAAAACATGTTTAGATATGCATAAGGAAACACATACTAGATATCAAGAGCTAGTTTCCCTCTTACAAAAGGAAAATAAATACAAGTGGTTAAAAAGTTCCTTATACAAAACCATCACTTTTATGTATAATCTTGCTTTTATTCAGACTTTTAAGACTTTACAAAGAAGGTCCAGGTCTGGGAATACTGCTCTGATTCACATTTCTAATGTGTTGGCCTTGAAGAGCACATCCCCAAGTATAGCTGTGTTTATAAATGTTGAGTCAGGCTGTCTCTGAGCTGCAGCAGGCCAAGAATCTCCAGGGTTGTTTTTCTCTCTCATCGGTGTAGAAAGTAATGAGCATCAGACTCGAATTGCTTCACGCAGGCTTCCTGCTCAGCATACGCTCCAAAGACACCACTGTCTCAATGGATCATGTTGGAGTACCATTTCAGACAACCGGCTTACACAGAAGGAACAGAATTTTGTAAAGTAACCTGGAAATTCTAGAAAGCCAAGAATCAACAAATGTACCTTTGAGTGATTTGGAGGAAGGGAAACAGGTCCCCAGCCTGCCTCTGTCACGTGACCTGGGATGCCTGCATTCGTCTTTTACTGCCATTCTGAACAATAACAACAACATTCGCCAGGGCTCCAATCCCTTGAGGTTGTGTAATTAAGGCCAGCTAGTTAAGTGAAATACAAGAGTCTTTTCTTTCAGTTCGAATATTATACCATTTGAGTGTTTTCAAAGCTAGAAAAGGGCAAAATTTGAACAGCGTAACTCGACACTGCTGTGTAAAAAAAAGTGTCTTGTCCGTCCTTGGCTATCACTGCACATATCGACTTCATTTTGATCTTTTAGAAACTTCAGAAAGGTAAAAAATCAGGTGTACTCAATCAAGATTATAGAAATACCCAAATGGGAAATTACTAGTAGTTATTCTTTGTGCAAAATAATTTTGAAGGCCACACCTAAAAGTAAACTGACTTCATCTAGCCATAACAATCTCCATGATGACATTTATAAAAGGAACTATAAATGCTTGGCTTACTTCTTTTAGAAAGGGACATAGAGTTTTAGTATTCCCTCTTTCCAGTTTTATATTCCCCTTTGCCAACTCACTGGGCACTTGCTGGCATCTCTGCAAACACCATATAAAGCTAGCAGATGGCACAACCAAGTTCCTGCCTCGTATGTGCCCTCTGGCAAGTGAAGAAAAAAAATCCTGTCTGTCAAGATACATTGCCATATACAGTGATATAACTAACTTATTAGGGTTCCTTGTTCCCATTGGTTGTGTCCCAGGTATGATTGAAAACCATTTGTACAAACTTAGGTATTATTTTCTTTTGTGAAATACAGTAAAAGAAATGAAAGATTAATATAAGAAAAATGTGCCTTTTATGACAATAAATATCCTTCAAGGACAGAGACTCAACTTCTTTGTTTAAATCAACATATACTAATTGGATTCCTTCTTTATTAATGTACCCCTTCCCATCTGCCACTCCATTTTTTTATTGCACAAAGAATTAATGAAAAGATAATGATTCACAGCACAGTCACGTAGTCCTTAATGTTAATTACTTTTGTGCTGATCTCAAGAATTATATATTCTTAGAGATTAAAATAAATTCAGAGATAGTGTTTATATGCAGGGGGAATATGCAATAGCCGTGTTTCTAAGAAGAAAGTTAGAATAGAAACTCAACCAGTGCTCAGTCTAACAAGTATAAGGATTTTTCTGTGGCCTCCTTAACCTAATATTCTATAATCGAGAGAAATATTTCAGATAATAGATATACTTACCTACTACAGGAAAAATAATCATAATTTTCCCAAGAAGCTCCACAAATGGTTAGATGAGCTAACCATCTTGCCAAACAAAATCTTTGCTTTTGATTATATAAGTACATGTCTACTTACAGATAGAGTTCTATCTGCATCCTAAGTTGATTTTATTACATTGTATGCCTTTTAACGTACATTGTATCAATCAATTTCTATAGTCATTCTATGTTAGACATTAGATAATTTTATTTTAGAGAGGAGAAAATGGAAATTCTAAAAGGTGACCTAACTTGCCCAAATTCATATCAGGATTAGACTCAAAAGGAACCAGGTCTTGAATACTGGTTGATCTCACACTAATTTCTTCTCTTCACAACAGCCCACTATTTCTATCATATCAAAAACAAGCATATGGAGCTTGGGCTTTTAATGAACTTACAGTTAGAAAAAGAAAATGCTGCATATATTTTACAATTACATTAAGAAAATATGTTTCAAGACTTCCAAAACATGGTTTATGGCTTGAACCATGAGGTCATGAGTTCAAACCCTGGTGCTGCCTCCTGCAGCTGCCAAGGTGAACCTGACAGTCTGCTTTTTCATATACTGGCATGATCCTGATATTCTGGGCCGTTGGAATCACAACAAGCAAGGGTAAAGCAAAATCAGAAAAGTGCTTACAAACAATGTCTACATTTTAAGATTTACTTGAGGACTATGAATCACTTATTACCTTCATTGTTTTAGCAACATAAACTAGTAAATATCAAATTTTTACTTATCTACAAGTTGTCTGAGCAGAACACAGTTTGTGTTCTGCCAAATGTGTACCCTAGTTCATTCTAAAAAAATATCTTGAACAAATTACTCTTGAAAAAGTTAAGCATAATGATTATTGTCACAAAAAGGAGTTAAGGCAACTAGTACAGCACTTGACAGTTTTTCAGTAAATGTTTTACAAATATGCTTGTGAACAAATTAGTTCTATAGTACTCTTTTTATAATAGTAATTTGGGAAGAACGAATAAAACCCCAACATATAAAAATGTTTAAATTCAGCCTAAATGCAAACAAAGAGTGATACCTTTATAAAATACTTGCATCAGTAGAGAAATCTTTGATATCCTCATCTAGAAATAGATTCAGCAATTCATAGCACAAAACAGAAATCCACTATGTTAAAAGGTCAAGTAGAGAGAGAGAAAAAAATGGATAAACTATATTCTTTTGGAACAGATTGCTAACCACTGGGTCATCTTTTTTCACAGACGGTTGACCGACCGAAGGACTGGTACAAGACAATGTTTAAGCAAATTCACATGGTTCATAAGCCGGGTGTGTATGCTGTTCTGTTTTCTGATTCGATCTTTGTGGGCAGGAGGACACATACTCATATTTCATATTGTTTTGTTCAGTGCCAAGACTTTAGCTAATTTAATGGCCCTCATACTTTGTTTCCACCATTCCTCCTTGTTCTCTTGTCACCCCTTACGTCACAGTCCTCTGTGCTCCTGCCACACCCCAGAGCTGCCACAGAAATAACCATTAGAGGTGATCCCCAGAGGAGCACCAGGTGTTAGGGGCCTCTCCCCTCTAAGTCTTGTCTACTTAAACGGACCCTTTAGGCCCAGTTCTCTCCCAACTCCTTAGCAGAGTGAGTAGCTGTGGGTCTCTGAGTTGTCAGATCTTTAAAACACTAACTGAAGGGAAATTTAGGAAAGTCTGCCTGGAGCAGAGAGGGTTAGAACAAACTTGTATGTTGTGGAGTGGGTCCGAGCAGAGAGAACACAATCAAGAGAAGACCAGTGGGTAAAAGCCCTAGCAAAAAACAAGCAGTATTAAAAATGGCACAATGGGCATGCCTAAGAAACTTCTTTTGGAACATTTTCTGTTGTTTCTCTGAAGTTCTGCTGTGACCGGATCTGTATTATCTTAATAATTATGTTTCATTTTCTAGATGATGACTCTGACATGTATAATACTCCTTATACATATAATGCAGGTAGGATGCGTTTCCTTGCTTGCAATGACTAAGCTCTGCCACGTTTGGAAGAATTTCACAATCTCTTTTTGATCACTCTGCTCACTGGGTTTTTGGATCGTTCTTTTCTTTTGTTGGGGCATGCATAACAAAATGATGGCTCTTTTCTCATGGAAATGAGGACTAATACTTTTCTGTCTTCTCAATTCCCACTGTGAGTGTATTTGCCACTTCAGGAATATTTAACTAACAACATGATGAAAGAACATATTGTAATGGGGAATAAAATAAGGTGAAGATCCCCTCCAATCAGGAGAGAGAAAGAGAGAAATTAGGATTGCTTGATGTTTTTCAGACACACGAAACAAAAAACTGAAACAGTACAGTTTGTGACCTGGTCCATGTCTGCTCCAAAATGCAGCTGCTCCTTGGGAGGGTTTTAAAAAATTCCTCTTTGCTGACCCACTTTTCTCAGAGTTGCTAGTGATAATGGTGAAACTTCCATTTGAAGCATTTCCACATGCTATCAGGCGTATTTCCACTTGCACTGGTATCTAGTGATGTGACTTTGACTTCAGAGAGTGAGGAACGCCCACTAGCCACATCCAGTCCTTGCATTCTCCTCTATGTCACCTTGGGGGTCCCACAAAAAATTCTGTCACATCAAGCTGGTAAGTGGTTCAGAGTTGGATCCCAGGCTTGGTCTGTTTTTCCAGCAGCTGCAGCCTCACTGGAGGACTTTTCCTGCGAGCCTGGCCTCTGACCTGTGGGAGGTTCTCTACTCCTTGAAACCCAAGCACCAGTGCTCACACCCTTTAAAAATGTTAGGGATTCTGCTCAAGTTTCCAGAAATGGAGGGGTGGGGGAAAGAAGGACTGGGTGAGTTTAGCAAGATGCAAAACCTCTGACTTCTGGCCCTCTTCCTCTAGGAGAGAGTTGAGGCCACCTAGGATGCTTGCCTCTCCTATATTACTAATCTCAGTGACTCCAACCTCCCTTCTGTGTTTAGCTTGAAAGGGAAAGTCCACCTGTGGAATCCAGGCAAAGTCATCCCTTGTCTCTTTTTTTTAGTTGGAATTGTAATTTCAGAAAAAGCAAATGAGTAGACAGATTTAGTTCAAGGGCTGGGGGCCTGGAAAGTTCAGAGTGGTCTAAATGTTTTGCATCTTAAAGCTTATGTCAATTTGTAAATAATTACATGGAACAGTAGTTGCATAAAATCTTGCAGGAGCTTTAGAGTTTCGGAATCTAATCAGAAGATAGAGAAACTGTAACTAATCTCTTCCTTTTCACTGACACAACATCTGTAGTTCTATGTCTACACCTGGCTCATGCACTCAGGAATTACTCCTGGTGGTGCTCGGGGGACCATATGGGATGCTGGGAATCGAACCCGGGTCGGCTGCGTGCAAGGCAAACGCTCTACCCGATGTGCTATTGCTCCAGTCCTTTGTTCTGCCTTTTTGACCCCAAGACATCTCTGCTACCCTCTACTCTAAACAAAACCTATATATCCACACACACACATACACACATCATATATATCCCTGCCAGTTCAAAAATATCTTCTCTGAACAATTGTCATCTTCTAAAATTCTTTAATTCTCATATGCGTTTCCTCATTTTACCTTTGTTATCATAACCAGTTCTTTTTTTTTTAGACTTACAAATTTTTGTGCTTGGGTTTCAGTTATACAATGATCAAGTACCCATCCCTCCACCAGTGCCCATCCTCCACCACCATAGGTCCCAGCATTCCACCCACCCCCCGTCCCCCCAAACCCACCCTGCCTCTGTGGCAGGGCATTCCCTTTTGTTCTCTCTCTCTTATTGGGTGTTGTGGTTTGCAAAAGAGGCAATGGGTGACAATCATGTTTAGTCTATAGTCTACTTTCCGCATGCTTCTCCCATCCTGGGAGGATCCTCCCAACACCTTTATTTGGTGTTCCCTTCTCTGTCTGAGCTCCCTTTTCCCCTAGCTTGTATGGTTGGCCTCCAAGCCATGGAGTAAAATTCCTGGTACTAATCTAGGCCATTCTTGGGTATTAGTCTCCTATTTTGTTACTTTGTGTTCCCCAGATGAATGCAGTCTTTCTATGTCTATCCCTTTCTTTCTGAGTCATTTCGCTTAACATGATACTTTCCATGTAGTACCACTTGTATGTAAATTTCGTGACTTGTCTTTTCTAACAGCTACATAGTACTCCATTGTGTAAATGTACCAAAGTTTCTTTAACCAGTCATCTGTTCTCGGGCACTCAGGTTTTTTCCAGATTCTGGCTATTGTAAACAGTGCTGCATTGAACAAACAATTGCAGATGTCACTTCGACTATACTTTTTTGCCTCTCTGGGATATATTCCCAGGAGTGGTATTGCTGGATCAAATGGGAGCTCAATTTCTAATTTTTGGAGAATCGTCCATACTGTTGTCCAGAAGGGCTGAACCAGTGGACATTCCCACCAACAGTGAAGGAGGGTCCCTTTCTCACCACATCTGCCAGCACCAGTTGCTTTTGTTCTTGTGGATGTGGGCCAGTCTCTGTGGTGTGAACTGATATCTCATTGTTGTTTTGATCTGCATCTCTCTGATGATTTTTAATCATAATTCTTTTTATATCTCATTTCTCTACATGTGCTCTAAGATTATTGAGACTTTGTTTCCTTAAACTTTGCACAGCATATATATATACATACCTATGTGTGTATATATACATGTATATATATCACTGTATATATATATACATATATCTGTATAACTCAATATTTTGTTTAACCATAATCAACATGTCAATTATTTTATGTAAATAAGAGCTTTTAAAATAACTAAGATATTTGTAAACAGTTCTGTTAGGGACTTTGAAACTTCCTCTGAAATCTTAACTATGTTATTAGTTTATATTATCCAGGAGAAAATATGCTGAATACCTGTAAGTTTATTTCTGATATCAATCTAAATTATTACTAATTCCAAAATAATCAATGGGGATATACTGCAATCAATGCATGTGTACATAATACATAATAACAAGTTAAATATATTAATAATGATCAGAAAATTAATAATTTCAATAAATTATAAGGACCATGCTAGGCAATGCATGCATTACAAAAATGCTTTTTATTTGGAGCGGGAGATTAAGCCACATCCTACAGTAATTGGCACAATTGCAAGTTTTGTGCTTTGGAAAGTGCTCCAGTTAGTGCTCAAATGACCAGGTGGTGCTAGAGATTGAACCACGTTCTGTCCCATGCAAGACCGGGACTCTTTTGGCGACATCAAGTGGGCACTATGTGGGTCACACATAACTCAATATAATTTTAAAATATTATTTGCCTCTGTTTTATTTGTGTTGTTTCTTGATAGGCCTGTATAACTCACCCTACAGTGCCCAGTCACATCCAGCAGCAAAGACTCAGACCTACAGACCTCTCTCCAAAAGCCAATCGGATAATGGCACTGATGTCTTTAAGGATGCCTCTTCTCCAGTTCCTCCCCCACATGTCCCTCCACCGGTTCCTTCACTGCGACCCAGAGATCGGTCTTCAACAGAAAAGTAAGACATTTCCCCCCAAACGATCCTATATTTAGCCTAAGATTTAAAAATAAAGCAACATGCCATTCAGTAGGAGAATCTGTGCTTACTTTACCAAGTTGTATATCAGATTTTACTACAAGCATCATGTAGACGCCTTCTATTGAGACTGTAGCAAACCCTCTCACAAGATTGTTCATAAAATCATAGTGACCTGAGATAGACCTGAAGTAGGGGGTGTACAGTCTCGTATCTTTGTTGTTACTGTTTGGTGCCACACCCAGATGTACTTAAGCCGTACTTTGGCTCTGTGCAAGGAGCTCACTCCTGAGGGTACCAGTAGCCATATGCAGTGCCAGGAATGAATTCAGGGTTGACTGCATGCAAGACAAGTGTCTTACCTGCTGTACTATATTCCTAATCCCATTTACTTTTTTGATTAATATATACATACAAGAAGAAAATGAAGTAGAAATAACAGGTCAGAGATGCAATGCTCTTAATTTTGTTTCTCCAGATATGAAATGTTATGCCTATTAATAATTTAAAATTTCCCTCTTATTTTAAAAATATATAGTTTTAAAAACAAGAATGATTATTTATAAATCATAAACAAGGCTTCTGTGACTCATTTCTACCAAGTTTTTGAGGTGATATTAATTTTTATTTTCCCACTGAAATAATTTTATGGAAACTATTCATATGTAAATTAAAATGTATAAAAACTTTCATTGGCACAATTTTAATTAGAATTATGACTAATAAATTATATTTATAGGTAATCTTAATTGAGAGATCACTCTGAGGTCAGAACTAGACTAAGCATTTTTTTCTGTATGATATTTAATCCTGAAAACAACTCAGTGAGACATGTTCTATTTTAAATCCATTTTAAAAAGAAAGAAACCATGGTATAGAAAATTAAAGTAACATGCTAGGTCATGCAGCTGGTATGTTCAAGCCAGGAGTCAAAACCTTATCTGAGTAAACCCAAAGCTCATACCACGCTATCAACTAATGCATAAGAACATAAAATTATTTGGTGTGAAGGTTAGTTATTAACTACCCATGTATTATACCCATCACATAAATATGTTTCCATTGAGAGTAACTAATTATAATGTAGGATATAGGATACCATGAAAATAGAGACATCAAATGTGACAAAGTTCTTTTTTCACTACCAATTCCTTCCTGATAAATTATGTTTAGAAAGTATAAAGTATTATTTGAGTATTATTATGAAGTATTATGAAGTATAATTTGATAAATAATTGTCTACACATGAATAGCATCTCTTCCACTCCAGAAAACAAATACAAAATTAAGACGTACTGTATTATTTGGTCAACATGTTTAGTAGAAATCAGATTTCATTGAGAAATACGATGATATCTTGAAATTTTCTAGATTATTTTCATATATGTCATCTCAAAGTACCTCTATCAAATATCACCCATTGCTTTGCTTTAATGTCAGGACTTGCCCCTAATTTTCCTGTCTCCGAGAGCACTTCTATTTCCAATATGCTATAAATTGGAAATAGAAAATAAATCAGAATTTTATTCCATTTTATGGGATTAGAATTGCTTCAGTCTATAATTGCAAAAATCCTCCCCAATGAAGTATCCAAAATATGTGGGTACTTTGCTCCAAAATATCTGGGTGTTATGCCCTAGATTTCTAGAAAACCTTTCTTTAGTCTCTCTTTAACAGTCTCGGGAAGGAAATATTTCAGGATAAAGAACAAATTTCAAGGTCTCCTGTGTAGTGAAAAAAATACCTGACTAGTTTTTTAAGAACAATACCATGGGGAGATCTCCAGTGCATGGAGCTTGTTCTTACAGATGAAAACCCAAGTGATATGTGCATGCTTTCCTCAGCTCAAGTCTGTTGCCACTTACAAGATAAACAAGATCAAACTTGGCGAGTGCATTGCTCCTTGTCACTTTGAATCAAGGTGCCCGGCCGTAGAGCAGAGCATAAACCTCCACAACTTCATGGAGTATAACTGCCATGAAACACTAGCTCACACAGCTGCCATCTGTCACCCAGTGATATGAAAGCAGTTTATTAACCATATATCGACAAATTTTTGTACAAGTCATTAAGCCTATAGAATAATAGTCATGTGAAAAACTAAAACTACAAGGAAATATGAAATTTTAAAAGTAGTTCTTTAAATTATTTAGTAAACAATTAATCAATCAATCACAACCATCCTGTTATTCATCGATTGCCTCGAGCAGGCCCCAGTAACGTCTCCTTCGTCCTAGCCCTGAGATTTTTTTTAAAAGTGCCATATTCAAAGCTCTTTCAGAGTTAGGAGAATGAGACCCTATATTGTTACTGGTATTTGGCATATTGGGTACGCCACGGAGAGTTTGCCAGACTCTGCCGTGTGTTTATTTAGTAAACCAAGCGAAAAATATATTTTGCTGAGAAATTTAAAAGCCATACTAACAGTATTTCTTAAACAGAAAGTGAACGATTTTCTACAATTGCCTTAAACATAGATAATTTTTAATATGTAATTTTCTGCTTATCACAGGCATGATTGGGATCCTCCAGACAGAAAAGTGGATACAAGAAAATTTCGTTCTGAGCCGAGGAGTATTTTTGAGTATGAACCTGGGAAGTCATCAATTCTGCAACATGAGAGACCAGTAAGCACTTGCTATTAAACAGAATACCTCTTCTCTAGGCTTCCTGGGTTCCCAACTAAACCTGAATTTTATACAGCATAGCCATTTTTTGTCACAAAGATATTTTTCTATTTGGCATATTTTTAGAAATCATGTTTATTTTGGAGCATGATCTTAGAATTGAAAATGTATCCGTTTTGTATATTATCCCTTCCAACCAAATATAGGACACCTTTGCATTTAATCATAGTTGTTGCCTAATCATGGGCCTGAATGTAGTTCAGAATAGAACTGCACTCACAAATGCAACACTGAATTGCCCATGATAATAGTCATTCATTGATCTCTCCTGTGCAAATAGACACGGGCAGTATTATTCCTTGGTTTCTATGTTGGTGTCTTAATGTTTCTTTAGTTTAAGGGGAAATTCACCAAATGTCTTTGTAAATAACAGTTGTTTTAATTGATTCTTATTAAATCTCTCTCAGGTTACCAAGCCTCAAGCTTCCTGATTGATTATCAGTCTATGGATGAAGATTATATTTAACTTTTCTGTATTTTTTCAATTGTTTAAGTAGATGCAAGCTAAAAAAAACACACACACATTATAACCACTTGCTTCCTTGAAATGCAGTTTAACAAATAGGTTCTTTCATGGTCCTCTATATTGATTTTCCCAGTCCTTTCTGAGACCTTATCTTTTCCTCCTTTATCAGGGCACCCAGAATCTCCCTGAAACTATCATTTCTGTACATCTTTATCAAAACCAGCTCTTAGAGAAACAATTGGTGTTATTTACAATTTAATCCTTGTCTGAAAATAGTTTTAGGTGCCAATGAATAGAAATAGTATTCATTATTAACAATGTTAAGTGTATCCAAGAAATCACATTATTATATTTGATGCAAGACCAGTCCTAAAATTTGATTGGTGCCCCCTGACTCATCACACCCAACAGGAAAGTCTGTGGATTTAGTTTAGGAATTCTGCGTTTATGATTATGTTCTTGAGAAGTTCAAAAACCTTGCTCTCACAGATTCTTAACTATACCTGCTTTATCTTTCTCCAAATTATTTTTATCTTAACAGGACTGTACCAGAAAAAAAAAAAACTGAATGACACTGAATTTCAGGCCTTACTGTTAATTTACAACCCATTTACTAAGTATTCGATTAAACATCTGAAACTTTATAGCTCCTAGGATGAAAATTGAGAATATAATGCCTCTATTGCATAAAAAAATTATAAAGGGCAAAATGTAAAAATTAAGAAAAATCACTGAAGCTTAGATTTTAAATTGAAATAATGAATCATTAATGACCGTTCAAGCAAGTTATGACACACTTTGGAAGATGAGACATTGAATTAGGTGTTAGGGATACAATGTTGAACAAGACAAAGTCACTACCTGAAGCAACTTTAAGTTGACATATAGGGATAGATTTAAATTTACGTGAAATAGACTTGCATACAGCCAACCCAAGTTCGATTCCTCCACCCCTCTCGGAGAGCCTGGCAAGCTACCAAGAGTATATTGCCGCACGGCAAAGCCTGGCAAGCTCCCCGTGATGTATTCGATATGCCAAACACAGTAGTAACAACAAGGCTCACAATGGAGACGTTACTGGGCCTGCTCGAGCAAATTGATGAACAACAGGAGGACAGTGCTACAGTGAAGACAAACTCTAATATAGTTAAAATAGAAGCACATATAATATATATCTTCCTTATCTCCCATTAATAGTTTGTGGGCCCATCTCCTTAACTAGATTTCTTATGTTACTCATGTCTTTGGGTTAAGGTTTTAAAAACAATCATAATAATATTTGTGGATCTTTGTTGGACACTGATGCCAGGCCATGTAATTAGTAATTTATGCCTGTCTCATATAATGATTCCAATCCTTTCTTGTTCTTTTTGTTCTTTTTTCTTTTTGGGTCACACCCGGCATTGCACAGGGGTTACTCCTAGCTCATGCACTCAGAAATTACTTCTGGAGGTGCTCAGGGGATCTTATGGGATGCTGGGAATCGAACCTGAGTCAGCCTCATGCAAGGAAAATGTCCGATCCGGTGTGCTATCGCTCCAGCCCTGATTCCAATCCTTTGAAATAGTTATATGATATTCCCATTTTGTAGCTAAAGACGCAAAAGCACACATTTGGAAATTTTATCTAAGTTCATGTAACTAGTTGAGGCCAGGCCAACTTATGCCCAATACAGTTAAGCATCCAAATTCTACCACACTCTAAGGTTAACTGGAGGAACAAATGCATTTAAGTAGTAGTCACTATCCACATCACTCATTTGATTATTTTGCAATATTAGTTAATTTTCCAATTTGTCGTGAATTCATGCCCTTGATTTACTTTATCAGAAAGCTGATCTTTGAATAACTAAGATATAAGGCCAGTTCTCTGAAAAGATGAGGAGTACAGTATTACTAGAGATTCAGGCCTGAATAGGTCTCTGAAACCAGGCAAACAGAAGTTAAGAAATCTAGCAATTTGGAAATGAGAATATCTAAGGAGATACGGAAAGAATTAAACTTTTTTCATCCTCATGGAATTTTTGTTTAGGGCCCATCTTAAGCAAAATGATTTGAGCTAGCTGTTTTCCAGTTTCTTATCAGAAAATCTAGGGTATTACATGTTATTTGATTTTTTTCATTCGGGCTAGAGTGATAGCACAGTGGTAGGGTGTTTGCCTTGCACGCAGCCAGCTCAGTCGAGCCGGGTTCGATTCCTCCACCCCTCTCGGAGAGCTTGACAAGCTACTGAGAGTGTCTCGCCCGCTCAGCAAAGCCTGGCAAGCTACCCGTGACACATTCAATATGGCAAATACAGTAACAACAAGTCTCAAAATGGAGACATTACTGGGCCCACTCGAGCAAACTGATGAACAACAGGAGGACAGTGCTTGTTTGTTTGTGTTTGACCCTGATTAATTCCATTCATTCCATTTGCATCCCTAAATCAGTAAAAATTAAAGGGCTACATGCATAGTGGTGCTGCAGAGGACAGACACAAAATGAACTGACATTAGATGCTGAAGTGTCTTGAACATACAAGATATGAAGAACATGTTTGCTCAATGAGAGGGATGTAATAGCAATATACACCTTTTAATAATCACACATGTTTATGAATGCCATTCATGTCTTTGTACATCCAAATTGTTTGCTAGCACACTTTGCTCTCTCCTATCCATATATTGTAAATTAGATACAACAGTGAGGTAATTTTCTAATGCACTTATAAATTTCTGTAGGGCTTATTTATCTATCCAAGTGTCATTTGGGATTGTTCCCCCTGTTCCCTCACAATCTGAAAGTCTTACCCCTTAGAAGAAGTTCCAGTGTCATGTCTCTCTTCTCGTCCACAACATACTGATTATAGAGAATGCTACACTGAATATGAGTAGAGTTCATTTCCCTAATTTCTAACCCAAACTCCAGATCACAGCGAGGGCATTCTTTCGAACCCTTCTGCTCAAAGTTTCGCTTGGCTCTCAAATGTTCTTAGAGCAAAATCCAAATTCCTTAACATAATAGACAAAATTCCCTGTGGTTTGGCCCCAGCTCTCCTACTTTGCCTCTCTTCTTGTACTTTCTGCCTCACCCACCTAGTTCCAAAACAGAGAACTTTCTATTCCCCCTTGCTGGACCTCTGACACAAAGGATGTTCCCTGTACTAAGAAAACTCTTTCCACCAACTCACTTTCAGAGTGGAAAATCCCATTTTATTCCTGACTTGATCTTCATCCAGGGCACCATCCCTGACTCATGAAGAGGTAAAAAGCTCCTCAAGCCATGGGCCATAACAACATGAATTTCTCCTTCTCCGCCCCAAGTTGTTTACTTATCTGTGTCCTCACCAGACATTAAACTCCTTGAAGGCCGGGACTGTGTCTGGTGCACCTGTTATCTCCCCAGATCCTAACACAATATGTGGCACATTGTAGGTGTTCTGCGAATACTATTGGGGTTAATAAGTGATGATGGTTCTTATTCTTGCAGTTCGTGGGACTAATGGGTGAGACTGATCTGTTGCTTGTCTATGAAGTTTGCACATTTCTAGTGACAATAGGCAGGATGGATCTCCATAAAATATACAGAGTGGTTTGTTTTGACACATATCTCTTTATCACTGTAGTTCACTTATTACATGAGTCCTGAGGTTCAAAGGGACCAGAAAGGGCAATAGGTTTTTAAATAAAAGTCCTCTCCTTGACCTTCACCAAAAGGATATGGATGTATTTCCTGAGGTACACAGTTATTATTTGCCTATAAATTTAGTAATGTTGAGTAAATGAGCTTAATATGTGTGCTAGAAATGTATTTTGAAATCACAGAAATTTATCTTCAACTGACTAGAACCAGTCCTTTATACAAGACAATCATATACACTTCTGTAGATACTGTATTAAAAAAAACATTGCAGGGGCTGGAGCGATAGCACAGCGGGTAGGGCATTTGCTTTGCACGCAGGCAACATGGCCGACCCAGGTTCTATTCCCAGCATCCCATATGGTCCCCCGAGCACCGCCAGGAGTAATTCCTGAGTGCATGAGCCAGGAGTAACCCCTAAGCATCGCCGGGTGTGACCCAAAGAGCAAAAATAAATAAATAAATAAATAAATAAATAAAAAATAAAAAACATTGCATTCAGTATAAAATCTAGGTAAGTAAAATTAAAGTAAAATAAATGTAAGTAAAGCACCATTTTGAGATTTCTTTATACATAACATTTTTAGGTAAAGGTAAAAGGTAAAGGCCCTCCCGTTGATCGTCGATTTGCTCGAGCAGGCCCAGTAACGTCTCCATTGGAGACTTTTAATGATATTAATCTTTCTCTCTATTAATTAAACCATAAAATCTCAAAGAAACAAGTTGTTTAAAACAGTATGCCGAGCTGAAACAGTTTAACCTTTCAGTAAATTTAGGCTGTTTTATCAGTTGAAGATTGTCACTCAAAGTTTAACCTAAAAAAGTTGAGCAGTTTCACCTAATTATTTAAACCATAAATAATTGTTCCAACTAGTACTCTATATGGTGTTCACAATAAATGCCAAATATATTAGTCAGCATCATAAATTCTGAACATACATTTTTTTTAAAACCCTGAGTTTTGTTGGCACTTGCTTGATTTGCTCGAGCGGGCCCAGTAACGTCTCCATTGGAGACTTTGTTGTTACTGTATCTGGCATATCGAATACATCACGGGGAGCTTGCCAGGCTCTGCTGTGCGGGCGAGATACTCTCGGTAGCTTGCCGGGCTCTCCGAGAGGGGCGGAGGAATCGAACTCGGGTAGGCCATGTTGGCTGCGTGCAAGGCAAACGCCCTACCGCTGTGCTATCGCTCCAGCCTCCTGTTGGCACTTAAGTTTTGGAATAACTTAAAGAATTATATGACAGCAACAAGTATATGAGAACTGTAGAATTTCTGTAATATCAAAAATGACTAAATGTTATCTGATTCTTAAGGGGGAAATGTGACTGAATACTTCTAAACTGTAGAATACATAAAAATCTTTAAAGGCTGGTCATCCTTGGTTATTTTCCATTAAGAATCAGGTGTGATTTGTAGCTTTAGGATTCACTAGTTATCTTCTTTTACAGAAGACATATTAGTTTTAACACACATTTGCTGGATTTTTTAATCTGGGAAGGAACCTACAACATTTGGAAAAATGTGAGCAACATCTGCACTTTTGTTTTCTTTTGTAAACAATTAGAGAATAGCACGAACTCATTCTTAAATAAGTTTGAGTGTTAAGTTTGTGTCCAACTCAAAGGAAACTCCAAATTACAAATGTGGAAAGTGTTGATTGAGATTATAGTTTGATAGATAGATAGATAGAGATATATGTTTACTGGTTGGTCATTGTATGTGTCTATTATGAGATCTGTATACCTTAGCAATGATTCTAGATCTCTACACAATAACTTAATTGTTGCATGACTACAGGAACCATAGCAAGTAGAAACTCCTAGTTCTGATACTTACAATTTCTTTACCATCGAGAAAACTACTCAAGTGTAAGTATTTCATTATACTCCAAAATTAATAGCCAATTGTCAGTTAATTTTTCAGGTATTTTCTTTGTTCATCTCAAGTTATTTGAATTCTAAAAAATTACCTACATTCACTATAAGTTGAAATATTTATCTTATTTACCCCATGAAATGGTAATTCATGGGAAATTGCCATGCTAAGGAATTACGTAGAATGGTATATATACTGATCCTTTTACATATCTTATCATAGAAATAGATTTCTATAAATCAGGCTTTATTGTGGCCGCTTATTTATATTTCTAAAAGTAGAAGTCAAAGTGAGGTTGAAAGTGAGGGTAAATATACTTATTTATTTAGTAAATTTACTACCCTCTGCTGCCCAAATTTTCTAATTGAGTGATCTTGACTTATATTGGTATTAATATTAAAGTTTTAGGCATACAGAATTATTGCAACTCACCCACCACTTAAACATTTTCTTAACTCTAAGAGAAATTTTTTATTGCCTTAGCAAAACAATACCATACTTGAGAGATTGTCAAACTAGAAGTGCTATTTTAAACGTAGATTAAGAAGCAATGAGATTTGAAATTTTTTCTATAAAAGAAGGACCAGATCATATGGAGAAAAACATTAACTGAAAATTCTCTTTTTGTCAATCATGCTAAAAATCAGATGAATTATTTCATGAAATAATTTTAGCAGTTGCAGCTAAAATTTTAACAGTAATTGGAGTAATTAGAGAACAGTATTTTCGTTGTTTTAAAAATCTCAGTTTGTAAACTTGTCTTGAATCGAGATAAAGTGAATCATGTTCTTGAACTAAGCAGAAAATAGTAAATTAGAATTTTCTGCTTAGTTCCACCAGAATTTTTTTTTCTTGAGTTCACTGTTATTTCTGAAATGTAAACGAAATGGAACGTTGGCCTAAAAGAAAACATGTCAAGATTCCTGTAACCACTTTCTATAATAACTGGAGGATGTTCTTCAAAACATTGGCATAATACATCAATTAATATTTTAAAAGAAAGAAAAGAGCAGGCAATCATAGTGAACACCGTTGTGGTCATGTGGAATTGGATGTTTCCTTACTGGGCTGGCCTACACCAGTCTTCCTGACACCATTGTCACTGTCGCATGAGCACATGGTCATACTCTGCTTTTCCCACCGTGCATCTCACTGTAAGCATTTCTCAAAGTTTTATCATTGTGATCACCATTGGTTTTGGATAATTTAGACCCTTTCACTCTTTTATTATGATGGATGTTTCCGTTTTTTTTTAAATCACTGTCTGTACCTGCCATTATCATCTTATTATAAAATATTGAAATAAACATCACATCTCTAAAAAATACTTTGGATATAATTGATTTTTATACACAGACTGTGTATCTCTGCAAAATTCTTGGGAATGTAACAAGTCAATAAACACATTTGGACCAGCTATTGTCAACATGATGCTTTTCGGTTAGTTACTCAGGAAAAGTACATGAGTTCCTGTCAGGATTGTGAGGGAATGAGGTGAGATATAGTTGCTTTAAAATGATAAGTGCTTAACAGACGTCCTGCAATGAATCCTCTCCTGGTCACAAGTGAATGGCTTTTGAGGAACTAGAGTTTTTTGACTTCTGTTTTTCTGACTTAAAATGCTATGTTCCATTTGAACCATATTTAATTTGTATCATTTAACAAATATTCAAAGAAGTGATATGTCATAGGTCATTTTTAAGCATCCTCTATATAATATAAACGCAGTGGCCCAAATCAATCAAACTAAGCACATATTACTCAAAGGCATGCTCAAAAGCATTAAGGAGATCACTAGTAAAAAGGAAACACTTGGTTATTCATTTATTAAGTTTTTTCCATTAGTAAAACACTTAAGTAGATACCTCAGACTGTCTATAGCCACACTCTGGGTGTTTGTACCTCAAGAACAGCATTCAGAAACCACGGAAGTAGGAGACAGTTACAGAAGTGGGCCCTTTCTTTAGATTCATGTGACCATCGAACCAGGGTGGGATTTTACCCTTCACCTTTAGTCAATCCTGTACTGTGAAAAACATATTCCAGTCCAAGTCCATTTCCCTCGATAATGGTAGACGGGGAAAGGTGATACTTGGAATAACTCATACAACCTGATCACTCCTCACTTCCCCAGAGTCTCTTTGTCTTCAGATCTCTTCAAGGGTCCACAATGTTCCTAAGCGATCTAGAGTCCACCCTGGCAGGGACGTTGGGACTGGCATTTTCTGAACTGGTTGATTTTTCTGTACTCAGGCAGGACGCAAAGTACTGCTCGCTGCTGTCCTCGGGGCTCCATGCATAGCTTTACCTAATGAATGAGTTTTTCCTTCACCCCTGTCTTACAGCCACCCCTCCCTCCAGCTCCGACACCTGCACCCAGGGAACCTGGCCGGAAGCCTATTTCTATTGCACCCTACGGAGGAGCAGTAACTGGTAGCCCCTCCCCTCCACCCCGGAGTGGCATCCCCACACCAAGTTCATGCACCCCAGCATTCTCTCCCATCTGGGTGAGCTCCTTCCTTCTCTCTCTTTTCTGCTGCCTTTTGGGAAGTTTGGGTGTAGTTCTTGTTCTTCAGGGACTTAGATGACCATCAGAGGCTGGTGACTCATACCCACCCCAGCCCCCACCTCGCTGCCCCTTTTCTTCCTCACCTAGACCCCAGGTTCTTCATACCAATAGACCCCTAACAATCCCCGCCCTGCCCGGGGCACCTCTCACTCCTCCCTGCATTTCATCTCCCCCCCCACCCCAGCCCAGACCCTCCTTATACCCACAGTTGAACAATCACAGATTCCAGACCACTGTGAGCAGCTAGGACAGGAATGGGACAGTGATTTAAACCCAAAGCGAATGAAGTGGAGATGGACCTTTTTCAATACTCTGGTGTGCTATCAGTGCTCATTCTCACTGTCACAGAGTTTTTCTTCATGAATGTGTTAAGGAGAAAGTCAAAGTTTGGTGGATAGGAGACAATAGTCTTACCTCGTATAATGAGATGTCAGCCCATGAAGGCTGCATATCCCACAGTGGCCTGAACAAGCTCTAACATTTAGCATAGGTGGATAGTAAAATATACCATCTAGGCTTGTCATTATGCGATGACAAAAGTCTTAAGCAATGCTTGATTGTAAAGAGTTGTCAAAGTGGTACCTTTGTAGCTCATTTTCCTTTCCTGATTTGACCTTCCCTCCTCTGGTCTGTCCTGCTATGATTTGTTGGATGAGAGTTGGTGCATGTTGGTGTGTGAAGTTGCGTGTGTGATTTTCATACCACACAGCATTTCCCTCACTTAGCTCAGTGTGCCTTTTCCTTCCCTTTTCCTTCACATCTGCTCCAGACTGATCGCATAAATCCAGATGACATAGATTTAGAAAATGAGCCCTGGTATAAATTCTTTTCAGAACTGGAGTTTGGACGCCCGGTAAGTGAGGCTAGACTCTTAATATAAAACATTAGGAAAATGTTGTTTGATTTATGAACCATCTCATTATCAGAAGACATAAGTGTCACTCAGAGGACACAGCTGAATGTATATATAAACACCAATTTTGAACAACATTGACACAGGGTTTAGCATACATTCACTCTGTACCAACTACTTAAATGTGCACAGACACTTTTAATATATTTTTTCTTTACCAACATATCTTGCATTAGGATTATTTTATATCTAATTAGCTGCAAATTCAAATTACAGTAGATTTTGTCCTAGAATATGTAGGTAATAATTTCAGTTTATAAATGATTTGTATTTGTTTACAGTTCATTTTAATCTAGTTCAGCTAGAAGACCTCTGTGACATTGATAATAATAATGATGGCTTTTATTATAGTTCCTATTTCCAGATAAATTACCAAGTAGCTAGACTGCTCTGGGTTCTATAATCACTGAATTCTCAAAATATCCCTTCAAGACGAAACTTTAAGAGCCAGATAAGTTAAATAATTTTCCCCAGAGAGTGAGTGGCAAGTCAGAAACCCCGTTCCATCCAACAAACTATTCATGGAAATTTGCTCAAAGGTGTACTGCCAAAATATTCATGCTATAAAATACCTCACAGTTTGGGACTTATGAGAAAAAGAAAATTCTGGGGTATCTTGATTTCTAGTCTTGCTAGGAAGACCACCACCACCTCTCCAGTTCCCAAACCTCCCCCCAAGATGGAGTTTATAAGCTTCTTAGTCAGTTGGGATAGAGTTCACTGAATCACCAAATTACAATTTCCTTTATTAACTTATGTTTTATGGTGGAGCTATACCAACCACAATTCATTTGTTTTGTGTCATTTGCATATTTTATACTTTACTGATGTTTCAGAATTTTAGACATGTAACATAAATATTGCACTGAACAGTTATTAGAGAAAATCTTCCATTTACCACATTACATACTGATTTATTTTTTTATATGATAAGCATTTGTTGTTTGCTGGATGGTTGTGGTTGGCCCTTTTGTTTATTAAAGTATGAAGGGGACTAAATTTCATTGCTTTCATTTTGAACTGGATCAGAAGTGACTGTAAATAAATATAAATCCAAGAATATTCCCTAGATTTTCTATGCTTAATAGGAGAAACGCTTTCTCTTATTTTTTCTTACTTTGTATCCAGGTACTCATAGAACTGCATATTAATTCAGAAAAATACCCTGGCTTTATTTTATAACGTATTATTGTTGAACTGAGAGCTTATAGGGACTCTATCAATTCTACTCTAAGCCTAAATTATCAGCATTTTCTTTAATCATTTTCAGCTGCACATGAAAACTCACCAGCATGTTCTCTGCTTGCTTCTTTAATACTTCTTTAATATACCTTGCATTTCTCTGTGGCCAGGGACTAGTAGAGCTAATTTCAGTGTAATGAAATGAATTTATGCATTTACTAACCAAATCACTAGTAATTTTGCCCAGTGCTTGAGTCTATGAACATTGCACCCTTCCTCCTAGCTGTGCCATTTTTGCTTCATTCATGTCACTCTTTATGTATATCTGATGCTGTCAGCACTCAATTTCTAACTGTTGTCACCTTTTCCACATGTCCATTCCTTGCTGCCATTGACTCTCCTCCATTCCATCTCTCCACCTCTGCTTATGTGGTGCACCTCCACCCAGCCTCCTAAAAAGGCTCTGGACTATGTTCAAGATCAGTCTCCTGGTGTTTCCGATGAGGTAAAAACAAGTTCTTCTCTTTTTCAGATTTCTCATCTAGGAGCTGTTACTGTGATTCCGAACATACATTTTTGATTCACTATTGTGTCTGAACTGTTTTTGAAAATCTTTGTGTCATTGTGTTAAATCCAGTACCGCTGCTTAGATAAAAAATCATACCCAAATGATTGACTCTTTCTAAAACGTAGGTGAAGAATCATTCCAACATGAAGTGCGTTTCTAGTATCTTATAGTAGAACATCAAAATTTGAAATTCCTAGCGCATATGTTACCCACCGATTTTGAGTATATAGGAAGTTAAACATTACTAGAAGGCTTTTCAGAAACATTTTGTCTTTTATGCTTGGAGGCGCAGAATGACAGGCGGGGTACTTCGATAATTAGATGCTTATGCCTTACGTAGTCATTAAATTTATTTTAATTATTTCAATTTCCAAAATGTCATTTGTGAAGCTTATCACTGGATAAAATGGAAAGTAAGACTGACATAACTGGCACTCATGTCACAGCTTCCTTGTTCCACACCCTAGACAGGCATTATTCATGATTCCTGATGCTGTAATCCAGACAGCCACACAATAGATTACCCCTGGCACAGAGGCTGAAGTGCATTTGCCAAATCTATTTAAAAAGAGTATTTATAACAATATTCGAAGTTTTTGGTTATTTCTATTTTTAAAAAGAAGGTCGACGGGAGAGAAATGGAGGAGGAAAGACTTTGTCTTACATGTGGCTATTTCTGATTTGAATCCTAGTACTACATGCTCCCACAAACACTGACAGGATTAGTCCCTAAGCACTGTCAGATATAGTCCAACCACACCCATACTCCGCCAATAAATAAAATAAATAATACTTTAAATGTAAATTTTTATTAGCATTAACCAGAGTATGAAAAGAGATAGACATCATCCAGAATTAAACAATTTTTGCCCTGCTCTCTGCAAAATAAATAAATTCTTTTGGAAATCAGATTTAGGTCTCAATATAAAAGACACAAGCGAGTGTGATGGTGTTGCCAAACATCACGTGTGAAAAAGTCCCCTGGAAGAATTCTTAGAAGCAGTTCGGATGGAGATCAAATGAATAAGCTGATTTTTGTACAGTAGTTTTTCTGTGGCCCTAAGTAACTTTGAATATGCTTTAAGAATTTTATTTTTATTGAAGTCTTTTTTTTTTATTAAATCACTATGAATTACCAAGGTACAAAGTTATTTATAGTTGAGTTTCAGGCATACAATGTTCCAACAGCAATCTCTTTACCAGTGTTCCACGTCCTCCACCAATCCCCGCTCCTCACAGCCCCATCCCCCTGCCTCCCCACACACACCTGCCTCCTTTGTGACAGGCACTATTTTCTTTTTCCATTGTTTTTCCCCTTTTACACACTGTAGTTTACTGCACTATTATTAATAGGGTATTAGAGATTGAATAAACAATCCTACACACAGTTTGTGCCTCACTGAAACGTCTTAACTCTATGAAACAAACGCAACTAGAAAATACTAACTTGAAGAGTGTTTACACTGCAAAAGGTACTACTGACATACAGTGGTGACAATCGGAACTGCATGTGTAGTCTTGGGTCACTACCATTGCCCTTCCAAATCATTTTCCCTGGGGTATTCCTCACAGTGTATGGAAAGAGAGAGAATACTAAATAAAAAGTAAAATAGGATAATTAGGAACATTAAGAACTAATTCATTTAGTCTTTTCCAAAAGCTTATATTTTGTTATCTAGCATGGGGAGAAAATCATATATAATAAGTAACTCTATTCTCGGGTATATTACCTTCACATGAAAAAGAAAGAAGGAAAGAAAGAAAGAAAGAAAGAAAGAAAGAAAGAAAGAAAGAGAGAAAGAAAGAGATATTATGAATTTACATTGATATTTCCTTTCTTCACATATTTCCTAGATATTTTGTTTTTAAAATGGTTCATTTATTGAAAATTGGAATTTATAGTTCAATTCATTCAAATATAGTAGATTCCAACAACTCCTAAATTATTGCATCCCAGTTAGATGACATATTAAAATGAACCTCTTATCTCTCAGTCTCCACTTCACTGTTATTTCCTTTACACCAGACGCCTTAGAATTTTGAGCGATGCACTTGTTATAGAAACAAGCTGTTGGCTTAATACTGTTAGTTGTCAATGGTCAATTTCCATGAAAGGAAATCCTAGAGATAACATATACAATAATTCCTTGACATACAAATGGTATTCTATAATGGTGTAGTGATCACAAAAATATCACATGTGGGGCCAAGGAGATAAATCAATCAAGAGTAGACCACATGTCTAGTATGTACCTGAATTCAGATCTCTAAGTTATATTCATTCTCTCCGGCACCACTAGATGTCACCCTGGTGATCCCCTAAGCACCAATGGCCCAAGTAGGATTGGGCCCTATTAAAGTATGTATCATCTTTGAATAAATGTAAACTATCAATACTCAACAGATCACGACAGATTTTTTTTGTAGGAGTATTGCTATTTATTCAGCCACTGATTAGGCGACAGATCTTTTTTGGAGACAATTTTAATTTCAAGATGAGTTCTGCTTCTATTCATATTATACAAATAGTTTTCTGTTATCAAGCTCAATGTTTTGCTCTTCCTTATCCCTCAATATGATTCCTTTTCCTTGCTGTCTACATAAAATATCAAAACCTGTTTCAGTTCATTTTAGATTGCAAAAACCATCACAGGGAGAAATCATTGTAGCTTTTTAGTCTGGGTCTAAAACACAATGACTTGATAGGTGCAGAGCCTTCCTTTTCAGTACTGTTTTATTTCGTATTCCACATGGAATATGCTGGTAATTTGTAATTTCTGATTGTTCTAGAGTTGTTCTAGGAATATCCTAAATGGGTGCTTTTTGATGCCCAGCTCTTGTAGCTGGTCTTCCATGAATATCATGGGCCATACATAAGTAACACTGTGCAAGGCTCTTGAGTATTACTTGTCTACAAATGTGTAGAATTCATGCTTCTAATGACAATATAATTATCCTATTTATTTTATTACTGGTTTGCTTACCAGACTAGTAAATAGAATTATTTTTTTTGTAATTTCATGTTGATAACTTAGAAATCCAAATATTTTTTAAAAAATTAAAAGTACTAAAATACTTTATCTAAAAAGAAAGGGTAAATTATTTCCTCACAAGCATATATTCCTCCTTGTTTTTGCAGAAGGTTCTATTCTTATTAAGTAATAGAGTTAAATAAAAATATTTCAAGAAAGCAATTACAGCTCTCCATAAGGATACTTGTCAGACTCCTGATCAACACAGTAAATCTGATTTACAATTATTTTTACTGTTAATTGGCACTAATGTAAATAACAAATAGAGTTAAAAGTGTGGTTTAATTTTCACTAACTCATTTTTTAATAGGGTGGTTAAATATTTCTGTGTAAAAATAATTAAAGATAAAATTGTAAAGTTTCTGGCTCACATTTTAAAAATATTCTGAAGAACATTTTCAAACTAGAAGTTAATTTTTTCATAATAAAGAATCTGATCAATTCAAGTATATAATATATATGTATATATAACATAGATATATATGTTTATATCCATGTACTTGGTATATATTTATACATTCTAGACATTTACCACAGTTGCCTTCAACTTGCATTAATTATTTAAAGTATTTAAGAGTTGGATACTAATACTCTTTGCCTTTTAGATGTGTCAGTAATGATTCCGGTATATGGCCAAGAAAACTGAAAAATTTATGTCAAACATTTTTTTCTCAGTGTCTATTTTCTTATTTTTTTTTCAGAAATTTTTTCAGAAAATGGCACTAATGGTGTACATTTGGAATTATCAGTTTGTATTGTCTATCTTTCTTTGTTTTTATAGTCATAGACAACTGAAGTTGATTTTCTGATGATTTTTTTTTAAATATTTTAGCCGGAGATATAGATTAGCAGTGGTACACATGCTTGCATGTGTGAGGCCTGGGTTTAATCCTTGGCTCAAAAATAAAAAGTTTATTTTTAAAAGATTATGTTTAGTTCATTCATTTCTAATTAACCCTTAATTGATTTGACAGATAAAAATCTATGCCTGTTTATGTACCAGGCAGTTTAGTTTAATTTCAAGCTGAATTCTGTAATTCTTGTTAAATTGTATTATCTATGTTTTCAGATAAAAAGTATCTCTATTTCTGCTTAAATTTCATCTTGTATTTTATTTATTTATTTATTTATTTGGACACACCCAGAAGTTCTCCAAAGAAGCTATCTGGTGCTGGGGATCAAACTTGGGGCTCCCATATGCAAGTATGGGTTTCACTGCCTTTGGGCCATCTTTCCTGACCCTTTAATTTCATATTTAAAAGATAAAGCCTAAAGCTCAAGAAAAAAATAATGAAAGTTATACTTTATAAAAGTTGTATGATGACTAAAAGTTAAACCACTCCTTCGCATGTAACTTCTATGTACAGTCCATTTTTAATGGGAATAATTGGCTGTTGGTTCTTCTCCCCCATCCAGGCACTTTTTCAATTATAAATAGAATGCATCATTATCAGAAAAGAAAGGTATTTAGAAAGCAAGCAGAAGGAAATCAGGTTCTATCATTTCTCCCTGGAAGATATTTACAAAATCATACTAAATTATGGGCTGGAGGGATAGGACAGTGGATAAGGCATTTGCCTTGCACTTGGCCAACCCAGGTTCAATCCTTATCATCCCATATGGTCTCCTGAACCCGCCAGGAATGACTCCTGAGTACAAAGCCAGGAGTAAACCCTGCGCACCACCAAGGCTTACAAAACAAGCCAAAAAAATCATAACAAATTGCATTTTTAATCTCAATTTTTACAGTGCTCTTTTTTGGACACCTATTTTAATATTCACAAGCAAACAAAATTTGCCATGGTGAAAGTTTATGGAGCTATTATTTTATTTTTATTTTTACAGGCCTCCGTATATCAATCCTCTCTAGACAGGAGCTTGGAAAGACCAGCTAGGTAAGAATATCACTGTATCTCATGTGTTTCTCAAAAAAGCAAACAGAACATTCCTTTCCTCTTTAATAGTGATAACTACTCGGTGAATTAATGATTAGAGTTTATGTTAGCAAGTATTTTAAGCACCAGTTTTATGAATGCTGTTCTAGTTTAGCGTAATTTTTAATTATCATACTCAATAATTTAGCAATATTAAGGGAAGTAATTCTGAAACCTTATACAGACTGAGAAATTCTTCTCTCTTATTATAGGGATTATAAGCATCCAATTTTTAATATTGTCAGATTAATTTGATGATTGTAAAGTTGAGAAAATCCTATCAACTATAAAAACTTTATGGATTATATTCTGTAAATATTTGTTCACAACTCTTTTTTTTTTCTTTTTGGGTCACACCCGGCAATGCACAGGGGTTACTCCTGGCTCATGTACTCAGGAATTACTCCTGGTACTCAGGAGATCATATGGAATACTGGGAATCAGTTTCGGCTCGCTGCATGCAAGGCAAACACCTCACTTTCTGTGCTATCACTCCAGCCACTTGTTCATAAGTCTTTGACCACACAAATCAGAAATACTTTTATTACTGTTATACAAGAGCTTACCATATACCAGACATTCTAAGTACATAAACACACTCAGTTCTTTAGGTAGCATTGTGATTTAAGTACTGTTATCTCAATTGTATCTCTAAGTAAAGGAAAGCTTAGGCTATAAAACATCCAGGTTTGCACAGTTGGCAGAGTAAACAATCCAGAGTTAAACAACAACCTTGTAACTGCGAAGCATAACTTCCCTAAGAATCTGCCGAAGTTAGTTCTATTGGTAGGTTTTAACTACTATATTTTAAGACCCAAAAGTTCAGTGGTACTCTAAATAATTCAAAAATTCTAATATGTGTTTATTAACAATAAACATTTATATATTCATAAATCGCTTTTTCTTTAGAGTTCTACCAACATAAGTGAAAAACTTTGTAAACTTGGTCATTTGTAAATTGGGCTTACATTTATTTTCCAGTGACATTAACATCATTGGGGGGAGGGGGTATTTTCCCAACGCTCTCCTTTTATGTATTTTATGTTTATATATGCACCTAAAAAGTTTGGATTCTTGAGTTCTGATCTGACCTAAAGATGGCTGTAAAGACACATATCTTCACGTGGCAGCCTAGGAAAGCAAAAATATATCTCAATGACAGACAATTAATAGAGGCCAAATTCTAAGTTCTGGTCCCAACTCTATATTTGCAATATGTGTGTGTTCTAGTTTCCTTGTTTGTGAAGCTGTGTCAACAGTGTAAGTTTCACAGAGTTTCTGTGCAGGCTACATGTGACAATAATGTCAGCCATACAGCTGGTTCATAGGACCTGGTGCTACTATCATTGATGCCAAGTTGTGTGCTGATTGGACAGTCCATTGTGGTACATATCTTTATTCACTGATGTTTGTCTTTAAAGATAGTGTGCTCAAGCTCAGAACCTTGCTTAAAATAGTTCCTTACTTTTATAACCTATTAACATCACCTTACATGAGTGGCTAAAAGAAATTTCTGCTGACCTGCTTATTGGTAATTTATGAATTAAGTAGAAAAGTTTGAAATCCTTGAGTAAGATTTCAAAGTGCAGATTGTTAGGAAACGTCCTAGAGAAACTTGTAGTAAGAAAAATTTGCCTCACCATATGGGTTCTGTTATTCAGTTCTTTGCTGAATTTTGGCACTCTGATCTGGATATATTTGGGATGTTGAAACTCTTCTTTATAGAGAAAAGAGATAAGACACAAGTTCCAATAGTGCAGCAGCCTTGGTGACCAGGTTCAATTCCCAGCATCCCATATGGTCCCTGAGTGTCGCCAGGAGGGATCCCTGAGCACAGAACCAGGAGTAAAGCCCTGATCAGCACTGGGTATGGCCCAAAACCCAACCAACCAAGCAAACAAAAAACTGAATTTTCCGTTACAGTGTTTTACCCTAATAGAAGAATTTTTTAATATAAAATATAGATTTGGAAATTAGCTTTCTCCCTGCTTAGATGCCATACTTAATGATAGTGTCACTCACAGTGAGTCATTTGGATAAGCAAGTATTCTATAGCTTCTCATTGCTTTCTTCATCCCAAATTATGTCCACACAAAGTTCTAAACTTGAATAATTATTTGCAACTTAAGTCATAATTTTCACTGCTTGGAAGCAACCAAGATGTCTTTCTAGAGGTGCTTAGATAAACTGCAGTGCAGTCATACAAGGAAATATTATTCAGCAATAAAAAAATAAGTTCTCAAACCATAAAAATGGCAGGAAAGAAACTTTAAATTATATTATAAAGAAAGAAGTTTATCTGAAAAGTCTGCACACTGTATTATTGCAACTCTATGGTGTTCTGGGAAAAGGACATCTAGAGACATTCAAATAAAGTGGTCGGCAAGAATCCCTGGGCAAGGAAGAAGGGAACGCATAAGGGTGTTTACAGCATGAAACTATGCTGCCTGATATTGTAATAATGAACACCCCTGTTGATTTGTCAAAATAAGGAGAAAATTCAGCATGAAAGTGACACAATGGATTTTAATTGCCTCTAATCATGCATCAATATGATTTATTAACTAGCCAATATACTCCCATAATAAAAGATGTCCGTGAAAAGAAACTGTATAGGATGCTGGGGAGAGGGTGGATAGGAAGTCTCTGTATTTTCCAATCCATTTTTCTGTAAATCTAAATCTGTTTTTAAAAAAAAATAAATATTGGTTTCTAAAGTTTATTATAAGGAAATTGCATTTACTATCAAGGAACGAATTCCTTACAATGCAAGTCTGGAGGTGGAGGATAAGAATTACACCACTGTCGTGAGCACAGCCGTCTTTCTAGTTCACGTGTGCCAGTTCTACTGTCAAACTGCTGATGATTCCTTCTTCCAGTTCTGCCAGCCTGGCCAGTGACTTTAGGAAAAGGAGGAAGAGTGAGCCCGCAGTGGCACCGCCACGAGGTTTGGGGGATCCAAGTGCAAGCCACTCTAGCCCCAGCCGGGCCGACCTCCCGGGTTCAAGCGCCACCCTGACCAAGTCTTTCATGGTTTCTTCTCCTTCTTCCCCATCAAGACCAAAAGGTGAGCAACAAATGGACTGATGTGTAAACGACTTTTTTGTGTGTGTTTTAGCCTAGCATATCATGTCCATGAATAGCTAGCTGCCCAATGAGAGTCAGCATTTGAACAGTGTCTTGAATAAAATTCAGATTTTAAATTAGCTTTCTCCCTAATTAGACTAAAGAACGGGGCTGGTAAGTCATTTGTATAACCAAGTAGTCTATCATCTGTTACTGTTTTCTTCCCCCGAAATATACCCATTCGTGTTTTTTAATAATAAATCTAAAGTATCAGATAGCTGTCAGTCTATTACAAGATTGCTTTAATAATATTTTCATAATATCACTGCCAATCTCTAGAAAAATCAAATAAATTTATAGAATAGGAATCAAAAGAGTGACAAAGCAAAATTGTTGCCCAAACACAAATTGCCTTTCTTTTCCCTAATACCTAATTCTAAATAAAAATATATAAACCTAAGGGAATTTCTTTCTCTTGTCACCCATATTTTTTGTCAACATCCATATATAGTAGAATATCCATAGTTCTCATGTAACATAATGTTTGATTTACAGTAGCCTACTGGTAAGAACTGGCTTCAAACTATAACATAAAATTTATCTGTTACCAATCCTATTTTTCTCTGTTCCTTCATTGGCAATTCAGTAAAGGGTATAAAGAAGAACCAAGTCACTCTTTCAGGTCTCTGAAATCCTGTTTAGTGTGTTAATGAATGCCACAGTAGCAAAAATAGTTGTGAAATAAAGGACTATTTGAGTCCTGAAATGGAGAACTATTTAATCCTCCAGGGAAGATTAAATGAGCATCCAGATATAAAGTTGGGTCACAGTTTTCCTCCAATCTCCTGTGGCTGAAATCAAAGAGAAGAAATTTGGTGTGAGAAGACACCAGTTGCCATAAAACAGCCCAGATTCAGCTGCACTTCTCAAATGCAGCATAAGAAATAGTTGTTTAGATAATTGGACACAATATATGCAGAGGTATAGCTCTCTTCCACAGCCTATTAAAACTGTCTACTTGCTGGATGGTTCAGAGGAAGTTGTATCCCCTTTCATGATAGTCTTCCTTCAGTTAACAGAAATTGCTTTATCAGACTCCACTTTTCAGTTATGTTCAGATAACAGGTCATGAAATGCCAATTAGGCATTATGCTTGAATCCCTCCTGAAAACCAAATGTATTGTGATTAATTTTGATATTTGGTTTTATTCCAAAGAGCATTAAGTTAACTTCCTTTCCCTGTTGACTATGTTGTAAGATTATAGGGTTGAACTTTCAGTAGAAATTTTTTTCCCCAGCATTCTTATTCCTTTACGAAGCAAAAAAAAAAAAAATCCCATTAGATAAAATTTGGTAGGTCATTCATTAGTTAACTGAGTAGAGTCATATAATATTTCATTGCATTCCAAATGGAAATCAGATATCTATTGCAAATATTTTTTTCCCATCTCTTCAAATGATTTATCGATATGCCAAACACAGTAACAACAAAGTCTCCAATGGAGATGTTACTGGGCCCGCTCGAGCAAATCGACGATCAACGGGAGGGCCTTTACCTTTACCTTTACCTTCAAATGATTAAGAAAAAAACCCACTGGGGGGGAGATGGGGAGAGAAAAAGATGTATGTACAGTTAAGCACTTCCCTTGCATGTGACCCACCCAAGTTCTATCTCAGATATAATCTCCCATCCCTGAGGCTGCTAGGAGTGATCTCTTAAGCACTGTTGGAATGGCTGCAAAACAAAAACACTGCAAAACAAAACCAAACCAAAAAATATGTATTTCCTTCTCTCTGCAATTATCCTTAGGCAAACCATGGTTAAGAGATTAAGCTAGGGCCCAGCCCAGAAGACAGCTCAGCAGTAAGGCCCCACACATGTCCCCCAGCACTGCTCCAAGCACCACTAGGCTGGCTCTAGTGGTCACCGGCACTGAAGGGCCCAAGCATGGAGCCTCCTAGGCCAGTTGGCAAAACATTCACTTAGGTGACCCATGCCCCTGCCGAGCACTGCATGGGGAGTAACCCTACCAGAAAGAGATTAAAAGCAGAGCAATGTAAGAGATTCACTAGTTTGTTTCAAAGGACACAAGTTGTTTTTTTTTTTTCAGGAAAAATATGAGCAATAGCTCACAGACTCTGGATTTTTCAGTTTTGGAAACTACATTGTCTTATATTGTTCTAATTACATAAAAAAGATTGGTACAGTTCTGACATTATTAGTTAAGGGTGAATTTATAAATTAATCCTTATTTATTCCCTATTATGAATCAAACAAAATTCAGAACCTGGACCTAATTAAGTGTATTAAATCTATAGACACTTTTGGCATTGTTAACATTAGTTTACATTACTATCAGGTCATGCTGTTTGCCTAAGAATTGCCATTACGTTTTCTGACATGTCATATTTCCAGAAATATTATAAAGTATACAATAAGGATGTGTATTGAATCCAACAATTACTGTTTGTTTGAAAAATAAAAAAGAATCTGCTATCTGCCAAGCTATAGTCATTGCCTTATGTTAGAATTAGACCTTTCTCTAAAGTTGAGGCCACCTGTGTAGTAATCAATGTCTAAATCCAACTGCACTAACCGCTTTCTCTTTGCTATACTCTCTAATGCTTACTGACATGCTCTCCACTTTGGAAATCTTTTAACTTCTCCAAATGTCTCTCTTCTGCCATGCTGCTATGGATTGAAAGATGGGGATGGTAGCAAGATGTGCCCATCCCTTTGCAATTACTCAGGGCTCAACAGCACCCACTCCAGTGAGTTAGATTACTGTAATACCTACAGACATCATTTGGATGTCCCAAGTGACTCCCAGAGGTCCATCACTTTCAAGAATGGCTGGCAAATGGCTCGGCAAAATGCAGAGGTCTGGAGTAGCACGGAAGAAGCAGTTTCCCCAAAAATCAAATCTCGTAGTTGTGATGATCTCCTGAATGATGACTCTGATAGCTTCCCAGACCCCAAAACCAAGTCCGAAAGTATGGGCTCTCTGCTCTGCGAAGAGGACCCCAAGGAGAGTTGTGCCCTCACGTGGGCTTCCCCCTACATCCAGGAGGGACGAGGGAACGGCAGGTTAAGGCTTCGGCATAGGTCAGCCCACGATGCCCCGGGGTTCCTAAAGATGTACAAGAAAATGCACCGCATCAATCGCAAAGACCTGATGAACTCCGAGGTGATTTGTTCTGTCAAGTCGAGAATAATGCAGTATGAAAAGGAGCAACACAAGGGCCTGTTCCACGGCTGGAGCCAGTCCTCCACGGAGGAGGTGCCCAGAGACATGGTCCCCAACCGTATCTCCGAATTCGAGAAGTTGATTCAAAAGTCAAAATCCATGCCCAATCTGGGAGATGAACTGCTATCTCCAGTCACCCTAGAACCCCCGCCAAATGGTTTGTGTTCCCAAAGGCGATTTTCCATTGAATCTTTGCTGGAGGAAGAACATCAGAGTAGACACCCTTCTCAGGTACAACGAAACTACCAGTCTAAAACCCTCGTGCCAATTCAGATTGAGGTCACCAGTGAGGAACAACCACGCAGCCATGTGGACTTTTCAGACAGTGACCAGGATGGAGTGGTGTCTGACCACAGTGATTACATCCATGTAGAAGGATCATCCTTCTGCAGTGAGAGTGATTTTGATCATTTCTCTTTCACATCCTCGGAAAGTTTCTACGGCTCCAGCCACCACCATCACCACCATCACCACCACCATCACAGGCACCTCATCAGCTCCTGCAAAGGCAGGTGCCCTGCCTCGTACACTCGCTTTACCACGATGCTAAAACACGAAAGGGCCAAGCATGAAAATATGGAGGAACCCAAAAGAAGGGACATGGACCCCGGCCTTTCCAAACTTGCGTTTTTAGTCAGTCCTGTGCCTTTCCGGAGGAAAAAAAATCCAACTCCCAAAAAACAGACCGAAAAAGCAAAATGTAAGGCTTCTGTATTTGAGGCTCTGGACTCTGCCCTGAAAGACATCTGTGACCAAATTAAGGCTGAAAAGAGAAGAGGGAGTTTGCCAGACAACAGTATACTGCACCGTCTTATCAGTGAACTGTTGCCGGATATTCCTGAAAGGAATTCTTCCCTTGGTGCTCTGAAAAGGAGCCCCATACACCAGCCTTTCCACACACTGCCTCAGGATGGTGCTATTCGATGCCCGTTGTACCAGAACGACTGTGGGAGAATGCCTCACAGTGCCTCTTTCCCTGACGTAGACACCACCACCTACCACCACCAAGAGCACGACTGTGCACTGAATCTCCAAGGTGGATGAACTTTTCTTTCTTTTTTCCATGCCATTTAGACAGCCACCCTCCACCTCTTTCATTTCCATTCCTACATCTCATCATTCCTGAGTCATGAGACCACTGGCATCGTTGTGTGTTGCACAGCAAATGTTTGTTGAGCAAATATGTCTGTCTTATTGACTAGTTCTCATTTGCCCGTGTATATTTTAGACTTGATGTGTGATTGAAAGTGATCCCCAATTCACAAAAATTTATTCACTCATAATTGAAAGGGGAAAATCATCTTGTAACTTACCGTTAGTATTGAAACTACTATTACATTGAAAGCACAAATTAAACACTTTGTCAATTTAGAAAAAGTTCAAGGCAAAAAAAACATAATTTAATATCAGTATCCATAAGAATTTGATAACTTAGTATGAGCTCTCTTTTGTAAAGTTAATCGGTCAATAAGTTAACAAAGTCTTTTTCTTGCTTTTTAATACTAACTTTAAAGTCATTCAGTGGGTAAATAATTAGTTCAATTCTTACATAGAAGATTCTGTATCAGAATATTCAGAAAGCAAAACAGAAATAACTAGCATAGTAATTAACAGACGATTTAGAATTTGTTTAATAACTCTCCAAGTTAAAGAATGCACTTGGAATATAATTTTTATGAATGTACCTTTAAGCTGTATATATAAAAGCCTCATTTCCATCACTTTCTATCACTTATTTTCTTGTCCATTACTTATTTTCTATTCTGTTAATAGACCTCCAATGTTTTTAATTTGACTAGCTTACTCTCAACTTCAATCATATAGATGGAGTGATATCACAAAGACAAATAGTAATTCAAATCAAGAGGACTTTTAAAAAATTACAAAACTAAAAAGAAAAGCACCGTGTATTTTGATACTCTTATTTTTAGGCAATTATTTTCATTAGTTCTTAAACAGTATCTGTTTACTATGTTGAGACTCTGAATGAACTCTTAGCTGAAACTTGGATTGTCAATAGAGTCCTTATGTATAAGCTATTGCAAAGTGATATTCATACATTCCTACATAACAATGGCATAAACCAAGGTTATAGGTACTATTGTAAGTACAGTTTTAAAGCTGAAGAAATTGAAACACAGAATTGATAAAAAAAAAATTTGACCATAATTACACAAAGTAAGATGCAAAAAGGAGATTCAAACTTCTAGTAATTCAGAATATATGCCATAAAATAGTGTCGAAAACAAGACAATTCCAATGTCATATTAATGTAGTACATCTGTCCCAATTATTTATCATTACATGAATTTTCTTATTTATTAATTATTAACCTTTACATTTATTTTCAGTACACATCATGTTTCAGATTTTAGGATCCTTAAGTTAATGTCTGCAATTTGAAATTCTCACTGATTGAGATATGTCATAATATAATTTTTATCAGTTATTTGTCTTTTCCAAAATCATAATATCCTAATACAATTCTTTTTTAAATTTTATGAACAGAGACTATATTCTTGAAACATGTATTTGTAGGGCTTTGAAATACATTTAGAGAATCCTTTACTTTCCAACTTTGTTTAACCCAATGAAAAATAATTTCTATTCCATAGATTAGTAAAAACAATTTTAAATGTAATCTCTATATGATAGATCTTTCACATCTATCACTTCTGTAAGTAAAAGTTCTCCCTTATAATTAAAGTAGTCAGAACCCTTAACCAATATTTAATTTTTATGAATCAGCACTTTTTGTTCCTTTGTAGATGGACTTTATTTTTTGATGTTTGTTTTTCAGATTAACTGAACCTTTTAAAGGAACAACAAAAAAGAATTAAAAACTTTGCTGAGTTATACCAATAAAATTCTATAACATAGATTGCAAAATACCTTTAACCTCAATTCACATTTTCAAGTATAAATTTGTAATATATGAGAGATTTCGATATGCTGACTTGCAGTCATAATTTTGAACTATAATTAGATTTTTATAAGATGAACAAAAACAATCTGGTATTTTGCAAGCAATTTGCTAATTGCTATACTTTTTGTTTAAGGAACTTGTGTCCCTTTGTTTCTTGGAACAAATATTTGCTTCCTGATAAAGTAGTTCACTTTTTAACATTCGATGATTATTCAGGCAAGAGAGAAAGAGGAAACGAGGAGAATAGATATGATCATAGCACTGTCTTCATTATACATTGTTTTTCTCTATTCTTTTTTTCATCACTGTAGTCTTAACTTGTTGCTCCACAAAAGTCTTTCTATGTAATGTTGGGGTTTTTTAATTTCCACTCTTGAAAAAGGGCTTATAATAGTAATTACATATTGGGACAAAGAAAATAAAGAATAGAAATAGAATGCATAAAAAATTGAAATGAAAAATCCTTGCAGTTGTGAATCGCCTCCACCAGGTGCTGCAGTGCAGTCCTATCTGCAAAGCAGCAGTTCCGTTCATGTATATGATTATAAAACTTCGGCAAAATTAGATGTTTCCCATCTAAAATGCTTTTTTCCTGTGTGTGTCTTCTATCACAACTTTGTGTTCACCGATTTTTTTTCACACATTTTCCATTGTAATGTCTCTCCAAATTTCAGGGATGGAAGTAGCCTTGATCAGAGAAAAGAGCTATTTATCTTTTCTTAACTACATAATACTCATTCTGCCCTGTCTTTCCAATAGACCAAGAGTCCCCTAGAAGTTACTCGTCCACTTTGCCTGACATGGGGAGAAGTGCACCACGGGAAAGAAGAGGAACTCCAGAAAAAGAGGTAGTTCGTTTCACTGCATTTGAGTCCCTTTTAAACATCCTAGGTAAAACACTGCCAGTCAAACTTATGTACCAAAGCTGTGAAAAACATAGATTAAAAACAAAGAAACAACAGAGAAACTCTCAGCAAAGAAACAGTTTCCTCTGGACCCTGAGCAAAGGCTGGAAAGCATTCAGCATTCTGATCCCAGCCAGAGCCCTCTCCCCTACTGTGGTCCTGGTTTGGCACCAAGACCTGAGACTTGACCTGCCAGCCATGAATTAGCCTTGAACTGGATGGTCTCATGGAGGAAGGTTGTTTCCCCTGAACAAATCAAGGAGGCAGGTGGGAAGTGGGAGAGAAACTGGTAGCGGGACATTGGTGGAGAGAAGGTCATGCCTATAGAGGGATTGGTTTGGAACATTGTCCTCCTGAAACTTTATAATGAGCAACTTAGTAAGTCATGGTGACTTAATAAAAATTTTTTCATTGAAAACCTAATTTTTTAAAAAAAATTAAAGATAAACAGCTGAAGAATTTTTGAACCCTACAGGGAACACAAGATGATCAAGCCTATACTTTTGCCCGCTAAAATCTTTCTTGGTTATGCTAATCGGCATTTAGAAAATGAAATTGATGATTTCTTCGTAATTTCTTACAGCTATTTGATTATGATTCAGAAGGAATTATATTAACATGTACAGTAGAGCAGTTGATCTTCCACAGTTGCTTCAGGAAAACCCTTGATTACAACCAAAGATACTTAGGACAGAATGACCTAGGTATTTCCACGCTCTGTGCAGTCTGCAGACATTTCATGCCTCTCTTGCAGCATTCACCTGCCTTAGTTCTAAGATAAAATATGATTGACAATGCTTGGGATTAATTATTCCTATGAAATTTCTGAAACAAGAGCTGATTGATAAAATTGATATACGGTTTACATTTATATGTCTAATCATTCTTTTAAGTTCATTTCTCTCTAATTCACATAATACTGCTTCCTTATAGAAAATCCGAATTTTAACTTGGTGCTAATCCCTTACCTTCCTTTTCAGAAACTGCCTGCAAAAGCTGTTTATGATTTTAAGGCACAAACATCTAAGTAAGTAAATAAAGATTTATCATATTATTTTAGTTGGTTTTAAAGGTTATGCCTGGGATGTGGCTCAGTGGTAATAAGCATGACATCTGGGTTTGATCCCAAACACTGTTCTCTCTCTCTCTCTCTCTCTCTCTCTCTCTCTCTCTCTCTCCTCTCTGTGTCTGTCTCTGTCTGTCTGTCTGTTTCTCTCTCTCTGTCTCTGTCTCTGTCTTTGTCTCTCTCTCTCTCTCTCTCTCTCTCTCTCTCACACACACACACACACACACACACACACATGCGCGCGCATACATAAACTAAACTATTGGCTTTCAATACTTTAGCAATAAGAGATAAATATTAAAATGAGATTTTTCCACAAATAAGAGCCAATTTCCAGTTTCAACAGTACACTGTAATTAAGTGATCTCTTCAAAAGTACCTGGGATAAACAGGAGAAATTTCTTTAACTTGGGCATGAATGAGTCACATCTAGCAACGTTCAGGGACTACTTCCGGCACCCAGGTGGTATTTAGGGGATCAAACACTTGGTAGTTCAGACATGCCTCAGGCCCAGCCTCATGCATGAAAAAGCCATAACCCCTGCAAGATGTCTCTGCTTATTTTGAGCTTAGTTGAGTTACAGTGAGTTTTATGCCATATTGAACATGATGAACAGTGCATATTAAAACAAAAAAAGATTAAAAAATTGTTAGGAATCCTTATTTCTAGAATATTTTTGTTAAAACTGAAAGGAGTAAGGGCTAGTGAAAAACATTGACTGGAAGAATTTTATCTATCCAGTTCTTTTCAGAATTACTTATGGAATGAATGACTGCAACTGTGTATAAAGATTCTGGCCATCACATCTCCATGTGTCCATGTCCAAAGCTTAGAGCTTCTGAGGAGAGTTCTATCCTGGGTCTTTTAATGTTGGTGTTTTCATGCACTGTTTGCAATGACTTTCCCCTATTTTCCTTTAGAAGCTTATTTATCTACTAAGCACATGATTAGATTCAAATACAAAGAAGCCCTGTGGATATCTTGTAGCCCATTGTGTTTGGATCTTTTTTTAAAAACTTTGGCCCTGTTAGGATGCTAGATACTGAACTCATTGTTAATAGCATTAAATTACAGAGTATTGTTTAGACAACTTTATATACAGATAAAACCAACACAAACAAACAAAAACAAACAAACAAACAAAAACCCACCATGGATTCTGCCCACAGAATCCAAATTACCAGTGTGGGAGGAGAATGGTCCCAATGGACTTTGGTGTAGGGATATTTGTACTTTGGTAATGGATGTGATGTGGTAGCATAATTTAAAAAGGTATGAAAACGTACCACTAAAGCACATGCAATGATGTAAACAAAAGTTCACCTCTAGGGAAGGGTAATAATGTCAGAATATTGCATGAAACTCTATCATTAGCTGTATCATGAACTCTACCATATATGTGTTATAAAATGTTTTTGACAGTAAAATTTGGGGGGGAAAAAAGAAATTGTACCTTTCAAACATACAGTGTTATCACAACCAAAGCAAGCGGGGGAATGGTTTCATTTCCAAAAACTAAATTTAACATGCCTCTTCCAGGGAATTATCTTTTAAGAAAGGAGATACTGTCTACATCCTCAGGAAAATAGATCAGAATTGGTATGAGGGAGAACACCATGGCAGAGTGGGCATTTTCCCAATCTCATATGTTGAGGTAAGTCCTTTCCCTTCCTCCTAAATGAGTGTTGCCTCCAAAGCTGCCACAGGTTCAGAATAAATAGCTATTTCCTTTCATAGAAACTCATGCCTCCTGAAAAAGCACAGCCTGCAAGACCTCCACCCCCAGCTCAGCCCGGAGAAATTGGTGAAGCTATCGCCAAGTATAACTTCAATGCTGACACAAATGTGGAGCTCTCGCTGCGAAAGGTAACCTGGCCGTTCCGTGCATCTATGCATTGAAAGGCTACTTTAAAAACTAAAAATTAAAATTAAAGGAAAAACTAAAATAGGTTAGCTTCTTCCTTCAACATTTTTGTGTTAGCCCCGTTTTCTACAAAAGACTTCAACAGACCACACTGAGTCACTCACTGTCAGCGTTCACATCTGATGCCCTCACAGATGAGGAGTTCTGCAGGACACAGGGATTTTCTTTGTGGTTTGCACTAAGAGCCCCCAAATCCTCAGCAAGGAGTTCCTTGGGCTGAATATTGATATACCTGGGAAGTATCAAAAAGAAAAACACATCTCTATTAATCATCAAGGTGTTTACCTTGAGAGATGCCTCCAGTATCTGGCTTTCTTTTACCTGGGAATCAAGGACTGGCCCTAAAATAATGGAACTATTTACTCTGGGAAAGCAGTTCCAAGAAAGTACAGTGCTGTTCCTTTGACTGGTCTTCTAGACCTTATGACAGCCCCAGATTTCACCAGCATCCTCTCCAATTCTAATGCTTCTTTTAAACAATATCAAGAAGAGCACTTGAGGGGCTGGAGTGATAGCACAGCAGGTAGGGCATTTGCCTTGCACGTGGCCAACTCGGGCTCAATTTGTCTACATGCCAGACAAATGCCCTCCCTACTGTATTATCTAAGTCCATGTGGCATTCATTATCTTGATCAATGAAGGAAGCAGTAATTTCCAGCATCCCATATGGTCCCCTGAGCATCGCCAGGGTAATTCCTGAGTTCACAGCCAGGAGTAACCCCTGTGCATCGCTGGGTGTGACCCAAAAAGAAAAAAAAAAAGAAGAAGAGCACCTGAAGGATGATCAAGCAAACTGTTTCCATTGTTTTCTAAGAAATCACAAGCATGTGCTTGAGGTAACCACATGCCTGTAGCAGACACTAGAGAGAGAGCAAGATGCAAAGTGCTTGGAGAATCTCTTGGGCCTATTGATGAATTCCTTGCCAGAAGCAATGAAGGGACATTCTGCCTTCTTTTCTTGGTAGAACCTCATCTCATTCAGTCCTTTTCCTCCTTGTTCTGCATCATCATCAGATTCTCCTCTACCTTATAACGCAGCACTCCAGAAACTAGATCACTTTGTATTTCATATTTTAAAGAGAAGTTCTGCCAGTGGAATTATAGTAAAAGTATAACCTAGGAACAGTCTGTTCTTGGTGCTCTGCAGTGAAATTCAGGGAAGTTTTAAGTTGTTTTATATTTCCTATCTGTTTTCTTTTTCAGCTAGGGTGGTGCTCAGGCCTTACTCTTGGTTCTACACTCAAGAATCACTTCTGGTGGTATTCAGGGGACCACATGAGGCACCAGGGGTTTACTTGGATTGGCTACATGCCAGACAAATGCCCTCCCTACTGTATTATCTAAGTCCATGTGGCATTCATTATCTTGATCAATGAAGGAAGCAGTAACAATGATTGTAGAATACTCTATTATTGCAAAAGCCAATGCTTCCTCTCAAATATGAAAGAACTGTAGTAGTATTCAATGATCAGAACAGATGCAGTTGCCATAATCTTGTTTAGAGGCAGAACAGGTAGATATTAGCCCTGGTCCTGGGTCTGATTTATCTAGGGTACATTCTCTGTCCAATCCATTGCTAATGTTCAGTGCATGTAGATTATAGAAGAAGGGATTTTCATTCATCTTCATGTCTTCTAGAGTTTGTCTTCAAACATACCACCATAATGAGTTGTGCAGAGTTTCAAAGCCGTTGCTAGAGAAGATGATTAACATGAATCTGTTAGTATTATCACAATGTTGTTGATATGTTGCTTATTTAGCTATTGGGTTTTTAAAAATAATTTGAAGAAGTTGTTTTTCACAATATGAGTCTGAATTGGAATGAGCCTATCCATGGTAACCAAGAAGCTGCAGCTTAATTGCATATTCTTGTTTAAAAACAACAGCAACAACAACAAAACCCCAGTAGTATAAAGCTTTCCCAAATGGAAATATATAGTTTATTAAGAAAATATTGTTAAAGATATTTTGTTACCATGCCTCTATTTATAATACAGTTTCTAATATTCCTTGTAGGGAGATAGAGTGATTCTTCTTAAAAGAGTTGACCAAAACTGGTATGAAGGTAAAATTGCAGGAACCAGCAGACAAGGCATCTTCCCTGTTTCCTACGTAGAAGTCATCAAAAAGAATACAACCAAAGGTGCTGAGGATTACCCTGAACCACCAATACCCCACAGCTATTCTAGTGATAGAATCCACACCTTAAGTTCAAATAAGGTAAGAAGAACTTCTAGCATATTTGTATAATAGTTGCAAATTGATGTAAGATTAAATAATGCATCACTTTAGGCCATCAGACTAGAATGTCACATCTACTGCAAAACTAAAAGTTTTACATTCTGTTTCTGGGTATTTTATTCCAATGACAAATTAATCTTATTTCTTAAATTGGTATAGGTACAAGTATAAAAAAAGCTTTATTTGATCATTTTCTTTTTAAGATATTGAAAGAAAAATATTATAAAATCTTAATTTGCGATATAACATTTTAGATTAAAATCATTTAATCTCTGTTGCAAATATAATTTATTTGTATTTTATAGTCTCTTAAATATTTTCTCTCACAGCTGGGGTAGGGGAAGCCTATGTTCATAATTTGAGAAGACTATTTGACTGACTTATTTTCAGCTGTTAATTTATACTGCGATATCATTGGCTTAATAAAATAAATTTCTTAATATTATTAGGCAAAATTATTTTGAGAAAATTACTATAATGTACTACTTCTAAATGATGATCTCTAATATACACTAAATGCTCTGAATCTTACTTTCAAGTGGTATTTCTAAATAGAGGAAATAGCTCTTTGAATCACTCTGACACAAATAATATTTCCAAACATATGATTTTTATGTTAGGAAGTTTCTAATGAACTTAATATTGCATGACATATTTCAATTTTTCATATAGTATAATTCAGTTTAAATACTTTGAGGAGATAATTATATTATATTTTAAATTTAGGTATATTTCTATGATATAAATATCTTGGGATAATTAATTTTGGAAGCAAATTCATTGTAAAGCTAAGTACTATGGACCTGTTAATATATATAAATATATAGTTGACTATGGTAGTCCAGTATACTATGAAATAGTATAAAAATAACAGTAATGAAATTTAAAGATATTACATTTTGTCCACATAACATTCATATCTATGAAAGTAAAAGCCAAAGTTAATATCGTTAGTCATTATATTTTTCACCAGCTTTACAGAGCTCTATGACTGTATATTATAATGTACAGTGTTAAAAAAAACTTAGGCCATTGAGCAGACTTCTCTGGACAAGTTATTTCTGCCTTGTAAAAAATTAACTTACATGGGATGTGGTAAGAGTGTCTACCTAAATAGTGACCAACCAAATGTAAAGTATGTCAGATGCTAGGCAGCACCTGAACTTCTACGAAATGATCACTTGAGTTTGGAGACAATTTGCCTCCTTTATATAACCCCATAATTACATAATATTTTCTTTATAAAAGGCAATATAAACTCTATAAACAACCCAATTCCATGATCAGACACAGGAGCCCAAAACTGGTGGAGAACACACTATGTACTGAGATGCTAATTAAGGTCATGGGCCAGAAATGAACTAAGGTCATGGACCAGAAATGCTGAGGGCATGAATGAGGCTCATCTTAATCCGCTAGAAAGCGCATCTTGAAAATCTGTCTTGATTTTTTCCCTTTCCAAACCAAAGTCACCTACTTGGAAAACACTAAATTAAAATGCCGCCAATCAGGTTCTCCTAAGGCCCACATACATATGTCATGTAGTTTTATTCCTAACACAGAGAAAGAGATAAACATGGTAGAATTTGCTTAAATGCATTAGAATTAGAAAGATTTCTAAATTAGTAATGGTCCTTCTATGTTTGTTGGTTTGTTTATTTGTTTGGGGGCCATAACTGGCAATGCTCAGGGGTTACTTCTGGCTCTGCACTCAGGAATTACTCCTAAAAGTACTCAGCAGACCACATAAGATACTGTGGATCAAATCCAGGTCAGCTGCGTGCAAGGAAAATTGCTTTACTCACTGTACTATTGCTCTGGCCCAGTAGTAGTACTTCTTGAACTACTTTTATCAAACTGACATAAACTTGTTTTGTTCAACATATCTAAATAAAGAAAAATTATTCAGATATAAATTTATTTTTACTGTAGGAGATTAAGATTCATAAATCAAACATCTCAAGGTTTACATAAAATATTAGGCTTTTGAGAGAAAATGGGAGTCCTATCAGGAGTGTGATGCCATGAATAGGATCTGTTTCCATGTAAACATTTACTTTGGGGTGTGTGTGTGTGTGTGTGTATGTGTGTGTGTGTGTGTGTGTGTGTGTGTTGATAGTCTTTATTTGGCAAGGACTGGGGGCCACTCTCAGGCATTAGTTCTTTAATGGGAATTAAACTGGGTTGGATTGGCCACAGGCAAGGCAAGAACTTTATTCCTGTACTGCCTCTCTGACCCTGATTTTTTTTTAACCTTAAAGTGGTAGTCATATAAGTTCAGTTTTTGTATTTTTTTCTAAAAAAATTATTTATAAATGTGTTCATGTATGATGATATAAAAATACCGTATACTATTTATTATAATCACCTTGAAAACATACATAAACACAAATAGATTTTGTTTCATTTTAATTAACATTGTACACTAAATCATCAGAAAACTCAGTTTAAAGCAAGTTATTAAATATTTTTAAGTTTGTGCTCTGTTTTAAAATCTCTATGACAGTTTTATCTGACATTTCACAATGAAGTTCCTTTTGAATACCCTGTTTCTTTTTTGTTGATAGATTGCTTGTAATATAGTAAAAATATGTTTAGAGTCCTCAAAATATCTTCCTACCTAAGTCATAGAAAAAAATCTTTATGTTCATGATCATTCATTTTCTACTTTTCTCTGTCTCTGTGTTCTGATTCATTCTTATGTTCTTGGCTTTTTCTTTCTTGATTTCATAATTCCTGTTCATTTCTAAGTTGGCTTCCAGTGAACCAGCCCCTCTTCTCTTGCACAAAGCTTCATCTGACCCCCATAAAGGAGCCCTCCAAGAAATCATCAGGGGTCAGCGATCCCTGACATCCAAGTGTCTGCCAGCAATCCCTTTGGCCCCAATTCTACCTCATTTTCTGGACAACTTCTTGGATGAACTAGAGCAGTTTAAAGCTTTAACCTTATCACCTGACCAAGCTGACCCAAATACCCTAGAAGAGATCACCCTTGAAATTAAAGAGGAGCCCTCTGTTCTCCTCCCATTGCCTCCAGCTTCTGTGCCTGCTGGATCATCTTCCTCTCTGCTGCCTTTCCCCCACTCTGGTGAGACCGCAGCTACATCCCAGTATTCTGAGGCAACACCCTGGCCGACTCTCAGGAACACAACTCAAGATGAGCTTTCAGATTTGATCAAGATGAGAAGGGGCATCACAGACCCTATAAAGACATATGATGTACTTGGTGATAAGTTTGTAACCTCTGTACCTACAAATGTGAGCTCCTTACCCCAAAATTTACCTGTCATTGGAGAGGAAGATGAAGAAATCTTTGAGGGGGTGATATCAGGCATCCAAAGATGGCAAGAATCTCAACAACCAGGTGATCTTTGGGGGAGCCATGATGACACAACCGTGGCATCAAGCCTGCACATTGAAGAAGAGGAAGAGGAAGGAAAATCTGATGACTTTAAATCTCTGGTAGCCACCCCCACAAATGCTAGGATCCCTAAGGAAGAGAGAAATGCTACACAAACCAGTAATGAGGTATTTTCGTTTTGCCAAATTGCTAAAGAACTAACCAGTCATCCTACACTTAGCTCATACAATCTCATTAATAAACAACAATGCTGACGTTGCCTTAGAAACTTTCTCATAAGAAACACAAGCACTAGGGGCATACAAAATTCAGTAAAATAATGTAAATATACGCTATAATTCCATTATTTATTTATGACTATAAATATAAATATTTAATCTTGGTAATATAAAGTGTTTTGAATTTCCCAGTGTAAATAATGACAGAGAAGTTGAGCTCTCACTGGGTGTTGCAGTATTCTAAGACTGTTGTATCTTGACTTTTCAAAGCCTGTAGGATGGTTTATATTATCCTCACTTTAGAAAAAGAGGAATAATTCAATTCCAGGATGAACCTCCCTAGATTTGAAACAAACTGTTTCTCAACTGTGATCTACTTTAGAAGCAAGTTACAAAGAACCACTGCAGCATGTAGATAATTTGAACGTTCATATTTAGAATGAGCCATCACTTCAGTGTATTTAAAGTTGTAGAACATAAGAGTTTTAATTTTGAACTGCTCACTTCAGAAATATCAACTAATCACAGCCACTGGGAATTCTGAATCCAATTCAAAAGAAAACATTTGTGCTTTTAAAGCAAAAAATTATTGCAAGAAGTGTCAAGGTCATACATCCCTAGGTATTTGGTTATTTTGAAATTATTTTAATGGGGGTGGTGGCTGGTCCTGGAGGTCTTCGGCTGCCGTAGCCCTGGTCGGGGCGGGGAGGAAAGCTCAACCCGCTCCCCTCCAAGGGACTCCGGGAAGGAACACCCAGGCGCGGGGGCAGAGACTGCACTGTTCTCGTCCGGGATCTGGATTTCATAGTCTCTGAGTCTTGGCCGCTGATGGGATTACACGGCGCCAGGGGGCCAGGTGGTGGGTGTGACCCCCGCCTACTGGAATTTGGAGGATCTGGGTGGAAGATGCTCGACTCCAATTCGAGTAGGCTTGGAGGTCTACTGTGATTAATGGGGGAGTTCTAAAAACCATATAGTCTCATTCCGTATACAAAAATTATCACATCTTGTCTTTTATTTGTTGTTTTCTTCACTATTTAAGCTGCCTTCCTTTTCTTCTGGAGATCAAACATCTACAGCTTTGCCCAGCCGTCTGCTCTCTTCCCCTCCTATTCATTCACCCTTGGCTTCTGTTTCTGACCTGGTCTCTGCATTTCCTCAGTCTGTCCAGCCCTATTCACCACCTCTCCTCCCTAAACACTCTTATCAGCAGGAAATAAACTCACCTAAGTTAAAGGTAACTGCATCTTGAGAGTGGTTGGTTGATTGCATGTTTTTCAGTGAACTCTTCTTACTAAATGTATGATTTACATTTGTGTCATCTTGCAAGATCTGAAAAGTTATGTAAATATTAGTTGTTCATTTTTAACATCATGGCACGGCCTGTATCCTAAAATTAA